GATTCCTGGACGATTGGATTTCGTCCCAGTGACTGAATAGTCAACAGCCTCACTTCATAACCTGTAGGTCCTGGTTGCAATCCCCAGTGGTTGAGATCATAATTAAGTACTGTTGAAGAGTCCAGAAACTAGGACAAAGGAGTAGCCCATTATAGCCCAATTCTCAATGGTCCTCTGACTTGAAACCAGTTAAATCCCTAGAAACCGACAGCATTTTAAAAACAAATAAAGTTAAAATCAGCAAGTTAAGCACATTTTATAGTCGTATTTTCATGTTTTTAACGCTGATGCATACAAGACAGTCATGACGACATTGAAATGATATTATAAATATCTGTATATATATATATATATATATATATATATATATATATTCACTGAAAATTAAACACAACTAGTCTCTTTAATAAATTTAAATAGCATTATTACAAGAAGGGATTTATTCGGAAAATATGATGTATTTCCGTATTACATTTCGAACATCAGTCTGGTCACATACACACACGTCTACTTGCCAAATCATCATTTACACAAAAAATAATGAAAGGCCAATTAAAATATAAGGATAAAACTTGGGCACTGTGGAAGACTATAACTCCATTAACGATGAAGTTTTATTTTAATAAAATCATACAGTAAAATTTACTGATGACCACCTTTCGAGCAGAATTGATTGCTGCTAATAATCATATCAAGGCACTACTCACACAACTTTCTTGCTTCATTTATGTACATGAGTAAAAATTGAGGCGCTTGTGTTAAGTAACTATCTTATAAAATTCATTAGGAATATCAAAAAAGGTCAAAAGCGAAACTAATAATGATAACACGAATTGGAAAGAAGATAAGTCATCTACAGTTTTACCATTCAAAGGAGGTGACATCTGAGACCCTACGCAGGATTCTCATTAAAGGAGGAATAAGGGTGGCATTTAAACCTACAAACTGACTCAAGTAGGACAAGCTCTGTGGACTGAAGGAGCCTGTAGGTCTACCCAATTAGACAAAATAATATAACTTACAAAATACCTTGCAAAGACTGTGAGTTAAGTCAACTGCATAGGTCAAACTAGTGGATCAGGAGTAGTGAGACTATCAGAACATAAGAATTCAGCTTAGGTTAGAATGACTGATCCCACGAAGACAAATAATTTAGAAAAAAACAGCAATTGCACTGCATGCTGTGGGACGGATTCAAAATTTTAAAAAGAAATAAAGGTAGGTGGAGCGTGAGAGAAATTGATTACTGGGTCCTGATTCATCGAGTCTACACCCAATACATGCAACAGAAATGACTCAACGTAAATACTAGAGATATGGAAGATGCTATTATCAGTCAAATAAGAGGATAATAAATAATGCTAAAATGTATTCAGTCCACATTATAACATTCTAACAAGTTACTTATTTTTACTATAAAAACATCTTATTTCCCATCTTATTGTATTTTATTGATAACACTAAGATTATTTCCGAGTGAACTTTATCTTATATTGATTTTATTTAAATGTCTGATCAATTTTTACTCATGTGTGAGTAGTGCCTTGATATGATTATGAGCAGCAATCAATTCTGCTCGGAAGGTGGTCATCAGTAAATTGTACTGTATAACACTGTGATTTTATCAAAACAAGATTTTATCCATAATGGAACCAATTAAAATGAACAAAATGTTAAGAGATTTAAGAATATTATGAAGAATAATAACTCTTCCTAATACAACCGCATAAGGATTATCAAAATAGGTTAGGGGTAGTAATAAGAGGTGGGGGGCACCTAATCCTACGGGCTGCTACTATATTATTAGTGTTCCCTTGGGTTCCTAGTGGAACATAGGGCTTCAACTGCACGCCTCCACTTGCTACTGTCTTCTGCTGTACTTTTCACTTGCATCCATGTTAGTCCATGCTGTTTCAACTCCTCTTCACACGATCTCCTCCATGTCACCCTCGGACGTCCCACTCGCCGCTTCCCTTTCGGGTTCCACTCGAGCGATGGCCTGACTCGCGATGTCACCCAACGGCCTCCTCAGCGAGTGTCCAATCCATCTCCACTTTCTCCTGCATATTTGTTGAGCGATTGGTTCCTGTTTTGTTTGTTCCCATAGCTTCTTGTTTGTGATTCTTTCCGGCCATCGAATCTTCAGTATAGAACGAAGACAGTTGTTGATAAAGATTTGCAACCTGTTGAAAATGTTCTTGGTGACCCGCCAAGTTTCTGATCCGTATAGCAAAACTGACTTGACGTTTGTATTGAAAATCCGAATTTTGTTGTTGATGCTGAGTGACGAAGATTTCCAGATTGGTTTCAGGTTGATGAATGTGTTTCTCGCCTTCCCGATTCTCGATTTGACATCCTCGTCCGTTCCTGCTGTAGTTGAGACAATGCTCCCTAGAGAAGTGAATGAAGTAACCTCTTTCAAATCCCTCCCGTTGATGGTGATTGGCGCTGGATGTTGCTGTTGTTGTTGGTTGGTTATTTTCATTACCTCCGTCTTGTTTATGTTCACCTGGAATCCTGTCTTTGCTCACGTCGGTCCAGGATATCCCTGTCTTCTCGTTTCCCACTGTCTGACGCATAATCCAGTCCACCACAGTTAGGAATATCATTGGTGATAATAAGCACCCTTGTCTGACTCCTGTGTTTACTCCAAACGCCTCGCTGAGTTTTCCGTTGTGGATCACTTGACATGTGCCGTTGTCGTACAGCTGTTGAATAAGGTTGATGAATATTTGGGGTACGCCGTAGTACTCGAGTAGTTTCCAAATTACTTCGCGGTCAACGCTGTCGAAGGCCTTCTCAAAGTCTATAAAGTTAAGGTAGAGATTTGATTGCCATTCCATGCTTTGTTCGATGATGATGCGTAGAGTTGCAATTTGGTCAGAACATGATTTGCCTTTCCTGAATCCAGCTTGTTCTGTATCCAGTGCGTCCTTTATTCTCTCCAGGATGATGCGACTCAGGATTTTACTTGGCGTCGACAGGAGCATGATTCCTCACCAGTTCTTGCAGAGTCCTAAGTCGCCCTTCTTTGGTAGTTTCACGAGGTAACCTTTTCTCCAGTCAGTAGGCACCTTTCCCTCTTTCCAGACCTTTTGCAATGATGGAGTCAGCATATCTACTGTCGTCTCCGGGTCCACTTTCATTGCTTCCGGGGGTATTGCATCTGGTCCAGCTGCTTTTCCAGCTTTCAGAAGCTAGATTGCATTCAAGACTTCAGCTTTCGTTGGAGGATTGGTGTCAACTTGCAGTTGTGTACGTGCTGTTGTTGGTATTTCTGGACGGGTTGTAGGTGGTGGTCGGTTCAAGAGTCCTTTGAAGTTGTCCTCCTATTGTTTAATCTGTCTTTCTTCCTTGGTGATTGGGTTCCCTTGGCTGTCTTTTATAGGTTTCACTTGTGTTGATCACTTCCGGGATAGAGACTTGGTTATCTGATATAGTGTCCTCAGGTCCCTTTTGCCTCCTGCCTTCTCAGCTTCAGTAGCCAGGTTGTCGTAGAATTGTCTTTTGTCCTTCCTGGCACTCTTCTTCACTTCTTTGTCCAGTGCTGTGTAAGTTGAGCTCAGCGTCTCTTTCTCTTGTCCATCTTTGCATTGAATCATTTTCTCTCTCACCATTCTCCTCTCCTCTATTAGCTTCCAAGTGTCCGTTGAGAGCCATTCCTTGTCTTGTTTCTTCTTTCTTCCTAAAACCGTTGAACACGCTTCGTTAAAAATCACTTTTAGAGAGTTCCAATGGTCTTCCACGCATGACTTCTCAGTGATGCCACGTACTGTTTCCTGCTTTGCTCTGACAGTTGCAGTGAAAGCGTCCTTTGTGTTTGTGTCCTTCAGTTTTTGAGTGTTGAACTTGCATTGTGGCCTATCCCCAGCTGTCCTCGAGGCTTTCAGCTTCACCTTGAAATTCCCTTGTACTAGATAGTGGTCTGAACCCACATCTGCTCCTCTCCTCGATCTTGTGTCCAGTAGGCTCCGTCTGCACTTCCTTGAGATTGAAATGAAGTCTATCTGGTTTTTGGTGTGTCCATCTGGTGAAATCCATGTTGCCTTGTGTATATCCCTGTGTTTGAACACACTGCCACCAATCACCAAATCATTGAAGGCGCAGAAGTCTGAGAAGAGTTCACCATTGTCGTTCATTTCACCGAGGGCCTCGCGACCCATGGTGAGTTCTCTTCCTGTATTGTCTCCTCCGAGTTTCGCATTCATGTCGCCCATCAGGATTTTGATATCGCTCTTTGGGACGTTGTCCATTACTGTTTGTAGTTGACTGTAGAAATCCTCCTTCTTCTCATGTTCTGAGGCGTTTGTAGGCGCGTAGCATTCAATGATTGTAACCTTTTTTCCTTTTGAGTTGAACCTGGCTATCATTATCCTGGAGGAGATTGGTTCCCACTGCATGAGAGCTTCAGCCGCTGTTGGTGACATCATGATGGCTACTCCCTCGGTGTGCTCGTGATTGTCCTCTGGGTGACCGGAGTAGATTACTGTCTCTCCAGTTGATAGTTGGCTCCTTCCTCATCCGTTCCATCTGCTCTCGCAGATTCCCAACACTTCTATTTTATATCTTCTCATTTCTGCGGCTACCTGGGCAGCCTTTCCAGTTTCGTACATTGTACGAATATTCCACGTCTCCATCCTTATTTTTGCTTTCATCGAAAGAAGGCACATCGGTTGACTGGCTTCCCGAAGGCTTTCACCAGCCTGCGTCATTTCACTTCCCCGATTCCAGCGAAAAATAAGGTCATTGTTTGTACCTTTATAATTTTTAATATGTTTGTGCGTTGAAGTTTTTGTAGAAATTTGGTTAAGTTTTTGGGGTGGAGTTGCTTGCACCACGCCCCAACACTCCCCCTTTATCCGGGCTTGGGACCGGCTAGAATACTAGTGACCTAGTAATCTAGGCGAGGTTACCCGATATCTATGGTCGGCCTTAAAAATTTGGGCTACCGATATCACATGCTGAAAATTCCATACCTGTGTAACAACAGAAGACAAAGGCCAGGCAACAGAACGTTTATTACGGAAAATCAACACGTATTTATAGATTTTGATGTACATTATTGTAGGTTAATGTTAGTAGAAAATACAGTCTGTTGATTGGTTGTTTCTCACACAAAGTTAACCTTGCATCTCTTGTGGCTGTGTCAGTTCATCTATATGTAAACTGTATCCGCCTGTCCATCTTGACCTTGACCTCAATTACTGTCAACCAATTTGGCTAGCAACCATCTCTCACCACACCTGTACCAAAAAATACGGTGTGGAATCAAGCTGTAATAAAAAAAATATCAAAAAAAAATAAGTTCCTATTATTTGCGAAGACGCTCCGAACCGATAATTACTATGACTTTCTCGACTTTAACTCCAAAACACCAGTACTTTAAGAAAGTTGTATCGTTTGGCAATTAAAGTCTAGATAAGTACAAGTCTATTTGAAAATTGTATTACATAGTGTAAGGTGTAAGAGGGATGACTAATTGTAAGTTAGAAAGGAGACAGAAGTTGGCATGACGTAATAAGTCTGAGATAATGACTGATCAGTAAGCTCGTGTAGAATGGACAGGAACTAGTGGAAAGGCGATAGTGTTTTTATATAAAATCTGTATGAAAAAGCAATGTTATTAATAAACAGTAATGGAGTGGTAATAACGTGGATGATGGGAATAATAATGATGATAAGACAACAGTATTATTATTAATAATAGTAATAGCGAACTTAAATTATAAAAGAAAGAAGCAAAATCATAGTAAGAACTTTACTCTGGCCTATTTTATATTGCGCTGAATAGAAATTATGAAAATTTTAATACTTTCCTAACCTATCCAAGTAGGTTTTTGTATGAATAGAACTCATTGTTGTACCACCCTCCCTCCGACTCAAAAGTTTGTCTAGGAATGTAAGTTATTTTCAACTTTCATCCTCACATGTAAAATGTATGTGGTTTTGTACAGTAGAAAAGTCGCAGAGATAAAATTGCGTGTAACGGATTGTCAACCATATGAATCTTGGGTAATTCTGAAAAATATCGGCGGCCTGCTTAAATTTGGACTACCGAAAAATCCCATCGATATTTCACAGATATTTTCTCCTATGCAGTCTGCTTAAATCTGACCTTTAATTATATTTTGTATTCTGGCGAGTATTTAGTGTGCTTACCACTTGTTGATTCACAAGTTTCTAGTTATCGTGAGAAAAAAAGTCGTTGGTTCGGGCGTATTAGAATGTAAGAGATAGCTATTCTTGGGTTGTGTCCTTGGTTCATAGAATGGATTCCGGAAAATTTTCTAATTGACATTCAACCAAATTATAAGCATTCACTGAAGAAGGCACAGGAGAGGTATCATAATCTCTTGATATGCGTTTCATGTCAAGCAGAAGTGTTTCACATGGTCTACCGCGTCACGTGATATTTTATTTAAAGGTCTTATATGGAGAGAAAATATCATGCTATAAACTATGCCGAAAATTTTGGACAATGTATAAATGCGCTACAAAATAGAGCTATTATCATTATTATTATAATTAGTCAGATCCCATGGGTTTCAGAGAACTGAACTCTTCTTGATCAGCGATACCCGTATTAGAGAGAAGACCGGTAGTTCAGTGAAGGGTCTGTTTTCGTTGGCGCATTCATTTTCACAGCCGTACAATCGCAAATATCTATGGTTATTTGTGTGTGTGTGTGTGTACATTAAATTAATTTGACCCTGTCAAGAAGGGTTGAAGAACACCATCCAGCGTGGCTGCAGAAAGGAAGTAGTGGCCGTATAAGAAGTGAGATAATCGAACATCTCGTCAACACTGGTCATTCCATTTCAAAAGACACCTCCTGCTTCATAGTAATCTACAAAGTGAAGAACAACCTACCAAAGACAATAGATTTCCGTTTTCTTCGCATTGCAGAAGCCCCAGTCATTCAGTTAGAAGAACCAGAACTATGCATACAAAAGAAAATTATTCAGCCACTCTGTCGATTTGACGTAACATTTGCTTGTTTTTTTCCTAATTACTTACACCTCTTACGTAACTCCATATTTTGTTTTGTTTTCATATATACCCTGAGCACAACTCTCTCACCAAAATATTCATGTTATTACGCAACTCTTCTTTAACGATCATTTGTGACAATTCATCACTTTTATTACTACCCTCTTATATCAACATCCAATTCCTCTGAATGCCTTTTGTATTGTGTTAATCCACCAAAACTTACTAATTGTATTTTCGTTTGATAAATTTAATGTACACACACATACAAAATAACCCATACATATTTGCCACTATACAGCTGTGAAAATGAATTCGCCGGCGAAAAGAGACTCTTCGCTAAACTACGGGTCTTCTCTCGATTAACTTTCAAATGGTGATTTTTCATGAATATCCGTAGTACCGAAATACCGAAATACATTTTTCCGATAAACTCTACACTTTCTTCGTCAATTTAAACGTCCAGTTTCAAATGTAAATAGATCAACTGTGGACTTGACACAGACTGCATCGATTAAAGATGTTACATTTGGAAACACCACGCCAAAATGTCAGTGAAGAGATACAGGATAAAAATAGGTATCAGAATAAAGAAGTAAACAGACAATAGAGACTAATGATGAATATGATGTCAAAAATTTCAAAAGTATTTACCACTGGTCACTTCTGCGATATTAAACGGTTTTCAAGCACATTGTCAATTGTCACTGAACATCCTGATGACTCCAGCCAGCCAGCCAGCCAGCTAGTTAGGCAGGCAGTCGACATCTCTCTGTGTATAGATTAGACTAACAGTCAAAGAATCAGTATCAAATTAATTAAGTGTTTACATTGCGACCTTCATTTTTGTTATTGTTGTCGTGGTTTTATGTCAGGCTTTTAAAAGCACAAAAATATGATTTCTAGCTACAAGGTGAAGAGTGCTTGTTTTATCTGTTATGCATTCCACACTAATGATTAGCTGCTAATTTTATGACTTAAATATGCACTAAGCTTTGTTTAAATTTTTATGTGTACACACAAGTGAAAATTAGCATTCAAAATATGTTGGTATTTTTATAGTACATATTACCCACAGGTTTCATATATATATATATATATATATATATATATATCTAGTTAGTGTGGAATGCATAACAGATAAAATAAGCACTCTTCACCTTGTAGCTAGAAATCATATAGTTTTGTGCTTTTAAAAGCCTGACATAAAACCACGACAACAATAACAAAAATGAAGGTCGCAATGTAAACACTTAATTAATTTGATACTGATTCTTTGACTGTTAGTCTAATCTATACACAGAGAGATGTTGACTGCCTGCCTAACTAGCTGGCTGGCTGGCTGGCTGGAGTCATCAGGATGTTCAGTGACAATTGACGATTTGCTTGAAAACCGTTTAATATCGCAGAAGTGACCAGTGGTAAATACTTTTGAAATTTTTGACATCATATTCATCATTAGTCTCTATTCTCTGTTTACTTCTTTATTCTGATACCTATTTTTATCCTGTATCTCTTCACTGACATTTTGGCGTGACATCTTGTAAAACAAATCAAATCCCTACGAATCAGCTCTTGAAGATTAGAGATGTGACAAAATTGGTTATAACACCACAGTAATCCTGTGATATACTTTGATGATATTTTGCCGTCTGTTGGGCAAAACTGAGAAGTTATCTCAAGTGCGTAAAGAAAATGGCTTGATAAACTGTTTCAAGTGTAAGTATATTGATATGGGTATGCAATTTCCTTTTCCAAGTACGTCAAAGTTAAATACACTTTGCGGTGTAAGCAGTCACACGCTTCCATCGGCATACAAAACTCAACTGTTTATCACGCGTATTCTTTAGCTTTTGCAATCCTTGAGATTTACTATCTCCTCAAAGTGACAGTAAGTTCGTAACACCTACGGCCTGGAAACCTATAAACAGTATTATATTTCCTATATATTTTGTTTCCGCTCGTAACTGTCTAACCACTGCTAAATGCTTAAGTCAGAGAAACATCATCCACAGTTATTTTAGAACCACACTGCTAACTTTATATTGGAAATTTCCACTTTCTGGACACTAAGATAAATAAGACGAGATGCCACACAGACCAAAATTCTGATATCTCTCAAATAATGAACGTATGCCGTAGTTAATCAGCTCCCATACATTAGTCATGGAGGGGGGGTACCTAGCCTGTCAAATGCTCTGATGGTGTTCTCGTGACTTTAGTTGCCAGGTCTGTCAAGTACGATAGAACAATACTCAACCTAATGGCTGTGTACAGGGTTTGATGAAGGCTGTATGCTACATGCATGCACCTCGCCCTGATAATGTGTGTGCGTCGGTGGCTCAGCAGGAGAACGCTCGCCAACCACTCCAGACATAGTCCGGCATTCGATCCTCGATTGACGCACTCCAAAACATCGCTAAGCCAGTAGTAAACTCAGTCAAGACGGAAGGTTGGGTGTGAGGCTAGCAACCCCACCGCGTAAAAATGTAACCACTGCTACTGAAACTTCAAAGCTGTAGACTGAAGCCCTATATTCCACTGAGAACGTAGAGGAATAATTTTTTAAAACAAACACCCCCCATGTGCATTCTACTTCATATTATTAAATCTAGACATTTATAGTCGGCGTGTTTGAAGAGTCTAGAGATAGTTCTCATGTGAACTTGTTGATGCATGATGTACCACACAACTCACCGTTTGACGAGTCTCTATGTTGTCCGGCGAGTTTAATCCATAAAAGCAAAAAGATAGAGGATGATACTTACTACTACCTTATAGCTCTATAGTTCAGACGAAGTAAAAAAGAATTTTAAGAGGATCCTACAAGTTTGTGTCCCAACGTAGTTAGGTGAGTTATAAGTATCATGAAAAAGCCAAATAAATCTCCATTATTCGAATGTTATATCACGCATCACCAAACATATACACCTAAGTGATAATAAATTCTTATTGTCTATTTCAAATGTCGTTATAAATGACATCGCATACTTCATATGATTAGATATCAGTCTAGTGTCGTGAGTGCTACTTATAATCAGATACAAGTAGTATATCAATAAACCAATCCAAAAAAAATTAACAATACGTTTTGGGGCACTGGCTTAAAAGCAGTCGAAGAAGGTAACTGTGAGAAGAACGTTACAGCACATTGCAGAATCCGAAAAGCTGTTGAATGTGGTAATAGCTGACCAATTTGCAAATGAAGTGCAAATAAAGACTTACAGATTAGTTATGCCGAATCTATATACCTACAATACGTCTGTTCTAACAAGCATTACCCTCGGGCCTCATTGGTCTCTTCTTCTTTACACTAAGTCACGTAGTGAAAATGACTTCATACGGTAGGAAATAATGAACCGGTGGCAAAAATGCGCAACAGAACAAGACACTAATCCATGTTTTCTTTCTTTCACAATATATATTAATTACAGAAAAAGACTTATAGCAAGACCAGAAAACTAACAAAAAAAACAAACTGTAATAATAATAATACTATTATTATTATTAGCATAAAAATGGTGAAAAAAAGAAAATCACAGATCAATGCCCTACACCACATTCTCTTACCGCCCATAGCTCCCGGCACTGCGCCCCACTCCACCCCAACCAAGCTTCTTAATCAGAAAAGATCAAAAATCACGTAAACACCAGAAAATATAAAAGTCACATTTGTAAAAGGAGAAGTAAAACAGGTTAGTTTACAGATGAAATGAAGTAGTGACAATAGTAATAATTATAATAAGAAGTAGAAACAAAAGAGAGCATATCAAAATAAACCCATGAGGTAAAATATTAAAGGCAAAACACATAGAACACCAATTGGACATTTTCTAACTCTGAGAGAATGATGATGATGCTGATAATGAGTGATGGAATACCAACGTAGGATGATGCAAATAGCTGGAGGAAATGGAGGCCAAACACATCTCTTGAGAAATGGTGAGGACAAAACAGTATAAGTAACCACGCACAAAAAAAGTGTTTTCAAAAATTGAATATTAAAAAAAAAACATATAAATATATAATAAAAGAATTTTAGTAAAAAAAACAAAACAAATTAATTTGCATATGAATAAAGTTCAGATCACAACAAATGTACAGATGTACACATAAATTGAACAACGGGCAAAGGAAGAGAAAACATTTTAAAAATCGCAGTATATTATTGATAATAATAATAAGAATATTAATGAAAGCTTTCATCAGCCACATACATGTTCACACTAGAGCAGATAAAATATCCAATCAACGACAGTTACATGAGTATCTTCACTTTTCCTCTTGACTTTTCTTTGAAAAAGTTCAACAAGTTATTCAACTGTCACTGACTTGGCTAAATTCCTAGGACAATCAACCTGTAAAAGTAAAAAGAAGGAGAAAATTGACTCACGCATATAATCAACAACTTAACTTACAGAAATAAGAATAGTTAGGCGTAGTTAATAATTAATAATAATATCTTTATTCTGGACAGTATCTATACAATGCACAGAATCTTCAGAAGAGTTTAGTGAATGATATTTTGCTTTCATACAATATCTTCAAATAAAATATTAGTTGACAGTATGTCCTTCCTGTGACACAATGGTCTCTGAGCTGAAGCAAAAGCCATTCCATTATGATATATCTGCTTTGTCTCCTTCAAGAAATCCCCCCCCCCCACAATATCTAATTGAAAGCCAATTGTAAGATGTTTAGAAGTACATTATGAGACTCAAGGACATAACTGAAGAACAGTCTTCTCATGTATTGAAACAGGTTACCAGCCACAATCAGGCCTTTCCTTAAGATTAGCGAGAAATTGCAAATCACAAGCTTGTAAACATTTTAAATACACACAAGAGTAGATAATACCAGGTCTTAATCGATTAAAACAAACCGAACGAGAGAAAATATACGCAATAGAGAGATGGAAGGTTTTGGTAGCCCAAGTTTTAAGCAGGTCACCAACAAAAATTATAAGGTCTTCGACAGCTGGCTTGAGCCATATATAGAGAGGTGTACCAGGTTGAGGACCTCGGGATATGTCTGAGATTTTTGGTGATATGGCTGGAAAAAACCCTTTTTCGATGATGCAAATGCATTCACAGTCTTTGTAATCCCCCATACGCTTATGTGTTTCTATGTTCCTAATTCTTGTTCAAGTACACATCTGATTATTGTACTTCTTTTGGATTTCTCTTATCTGTCTTTTGTATCCTACTACATGGAGCTTGTAGGGAACGTGAACTGTTACAGTGCAGTGCAAAAATTTATAAGTCGGTCATTCCGACGGAAAGAAAAGACAAATCAATGAAGAAAGTTTTGTTTTCATAGACGAAATCACCTTCAACGAAAGCTGTACTGTCGTCTTCATCATATTTACTAAAAACGTGTAAAAGTCTGTATTCCTGGGTGGGTGTGGGGAGGGAGAGCGGGTTGTGTACCTGTCATACAACTGATACAGCTATTCACAGAGGTGATTTCTAAAGACATGAAGGTATTACGCGAAAAATTAACGACACAGTAAAAGAGTAAGAGTTTAATATTTGGTGAGGTGGAAATTGTTATCATGTTTGGAGGGTTGAACGTGAAGAAAACGAAAAAATTCCTAGTAAAATGCACAAAAGAAGCATGTAAGGTTGAGATGCCTCAGTCGATAAACAAAGACTTTTCTCGCAGAATATTCGTTTATTTTCTTCATGAGTCAACGGGTATAATGCAAGAAAAACTTTCTTTTCTTTGATGCTTCAATGAGATGATGCTGGCTTTAGACTGGTCATCAAGTTTGCGAAAACACAAACAAGAATGATGTGAAGGGATTCACAATGTCTGCTGAGAAAGGCTTTAAGTATTGATAAAATTGAAAAATATAATTTTATTAGGTATTGTAAATCATAAAGAGTGAATGCATCTGTGCCAGCCATTGACAACGACGATTTGAGCTAGCCATATCACCGATTGTCTCCAACCATTGGTTCTTACTGTCTCGAGGACATCACTAGGAAGTCTATACCTCCATAAGTGTCTAGCTTGAACTAACTGTTGTGGATTTAAGTCAATAGACTGATGAAGTCATGTTTCTTTTGACCACCACCACAAGTTCCTTCTCACTGCAACCTGATCCTGTGTCAGTCAGCTGACATTGACCGTCGAGGATGGCGATCTATGGCTAGGGATGCATGCATAACACATGTCCTAACCATCTCTTTCAATTGATGCAGCTGCTTCACAACCTCGTCGATAAATTTTCCCTCCTAACCTAGCACTCACTCAACGCCTAACCTCAATATTGCTCACCCTATTACTTTTATGCCACTTAACACGGGGGATAGAACGCAGGCACCTAAGATCACATCAGCTAACCGGCCTTTCCGTATCTTCCACTTTTAATGACCAGGTCTCACAGCCGTAAAGGAGGATGGAGCGGACTGGTGAGCAGTACAAACGACCTTTGGTCGACAGCTAGCCGGATATGGCATCTATTGAGCTAGAAATGGCGTAAGTTGGTGGGTATATGCCAAACGAGCCTTCTGTATCCATGCAGAGATTTCGTCAGCGGTCAACCCGCTGGCATTGGCTGATGCAACTTACTAAATAAGTGAAGTGGTTAAGAAGCTCTACCACTTCACTCACTATCTCTAAGCTAGGATATCGTAGGTCCTGTGTTCAGTCCTCTGTGCATGGGTCATGGGTGCATACTGATGACGAGTTCTAAACAAAGACAAAACGGCTATCCAGTACTCCCCTGGTTTTCTGTTTGAGAATCTTCAAATCAATCAAATCCCTGAAACCAACAGTTGAAGAAATCCGGTTTGCTAACTTCGAACAATATCAAGGCATAACTCATTGGTCTACAAGCACATTCAACCCCCTCACGCCGTTACCTCTTATTGTTATCTGAGCGGCTAGACAGTTTCATTGCAACCTTCATTCAAAAAGATCTGAGCCTGTCTTCAAACGAATAAAACATTCACACTATTGATGTGTGAAGACAGAATGTATTTTTACATGAAGTATAGAGCATTTTTCAATATAAAATTATTTCAAACGATTGATTGTTGAACAAAGAATATTTCTTTCGATAACTTCATCATCAGGTTCTACATTTATGTATTCATAATAATGAAGGAATGATTGTCATTGACAATATTATTGCCAACAACATCCAGGTACCGCATACTGCATAAACAGCACAGAGGCTATAGACATTCGCTTGAGACAACCGGTGCTCTGTGTGCAGAAGAAACAGGTCCAACCACTATTGTTGCCCTGGCCTGCTGTGGAGTTTGCAAATTCATAAATGCTTTATTACATCGGCCTTTTGGATATGGCCCTCCATCCTGTACATATAAATCCCTTTACCCTTGTCACTACACTTGCATTAACTAACCTTTTGTTTTCTTATTTAAGCGTAGTCGTTAACTGACACACTGACACACATACAACACAGATAAAATTTAAACCCAAAAATCATTTTTCTCTACCCGCATCCTTAATATGATCATTCACCCATCTGAAGTTTATAATCAATATGAATGGAACTTAATATGAGCGTGACTCATGTGAAATTTATTACCCCACATTCGTTTTCATTCATAATTTCTTTAACTTTGTAATATTGGTGTTCAATTTAGTAATATATACGTACAATTATACATATTACCACATACACATATATTTTGGACTATAATCTACTATCTGTAAATAACTTTTGGAATTCTAATCTAAATGATTCCATGTTATTTTCAAGTATCGGTTTTGTAGGGATTTTTGTTTGATTGCATGGAGGATTTCATCATGAGCTGACATCAGTTAGAGAACCACTGGAAAACCCGGGAGTACTGGACAGCTGTTTCGTTTTAGTTTGGGACTCTTCGGTGGGTGCGACGAAGGACGAAACAGCTGTCCAGTACTCCCAGGTTTTCCAGTGGTTCTCCAACTGATGTCAGCTCATGATGAAATCCTCCATGCGATTCGATGTTACTCTTTAAAAAACCACTGATGTTGCCAATGACAATCATTTTGTCATTCACTATTACGTATATGTATCACTGTAGAACCTGATGAAGAAGGGGTTATCGAAAAGAATATTCTTTGTTCAGTGGCGGCCATTCTTTAGAAAGATTTTTGTTTCTGAAAATTTCATTAAGACTTACATCCAATCCACGTTGTACAGCTATATGGAATGAGATCAACTGCAATGGAATGACTGCTAGTACACTTTGTAAACAGTCGACTGTTTCAGGTATTTGAATTGCATATGATGCTTCAGCCATAACTTGAGAATCTCCTTCACTACAAATGACAATTGGATGACCCTTGAAAAGAAACAAGAAAGAAAAGCAAAGTAAAGCAAGTTGTTGATGAAAATCTATGCTTTGAAGTAGTTTCTAATGATGTAAACAAAACTAGAGAATAAGGCCTTTGAAAAAATGTGATTGATGAACTAGAATTCTAGTGTCATTACATGGATGATACATTTTTGATTGTGAGAACAAATGAGAATGAAGTAAACAAACATCCTTGACAGATTGAACCACATTCATCCTGCAATAAATTTTACCATCGAGAAAGAAAGAGACTCTAGTATGACTAGAGAAGAAGACTGTGCAGCAAGAAGTGTATATAGAAAAACTACATCAACTGGTCAGTATGTTCACTTTTCAGCTTCGTGTCTTTGAAATACAAGCGCAATCTAATAAAGTGCTTGGTCCACGAAGCAAGAGTAATCTGTTCTGATGAATGTCTTAATGAAGACCTTAATATTACTAAACAGGTGCTGAATGATAACGATTATCGAGAAAAATCCATCAGTAAGAGTATGAATCAAAAGTCAAGGCAGGTCAAAGTACCAATAGTTCCCAAAAAGGCTTTGTTCTTACAACTTCAGTTCCTAGGAGATAACATTAGTGAGGTAATAATACAACGCCTTAGGGAATGTGGTGCTGTTGAAGTATGCTGTGCCTTCAAAATCACACCTGTTTTGAGTTCGAGAGCTAAATGCAAACTGCCTAATTTCGCCTCTTCTATGTGTATCTATCAATTTTACTGCTCTTGTGGAGCCAATTAACTGTTTAGGTCGTACAATTAGGCGTTTTTATTGTCTGATTTCCAAAAACCATCCTGCGTGGTTAAGTAAGAGAGAAAAAAGGCCATTCACAGTTCTATTCTACCTCATCTCGCAAATACAGAATACAAAATTGGTGCTAACAAGGCCTTCGAAGTGATCTACTGCATACCAACTAATCTTCATTTACCTTAGGAATTCGTCTACTACATATTGCTGAGGCTGTTGCAATCTACATTAAGAAGCCTAATATATATACTCAGAAGAAGTTGGTTCAGACCCTTTCCTTACCTTGGCCATCAAGGTCCTAATGATCCTTAATTTGTTGTAGAAACTTCCTTTAATTTATCTGATATTCTATTTACTATTACATTTTTATGCTTACTATAACTTGTGCATCTTTCTTGAACTGTGATTTCATTGACCTTAACGAATTGATAGTATTTTTTTAAAACGCCAATCCTGCTAATGGCGATTATTGCAAAATATTCTACATATGTATATAAATCTTTGTACTGCCAGAAGATGAAATTATCGAGAAGAATAGTTTCGCTACAAACAAATAGGTTGGGAAAAAACGCCAAAACTCCAAATTGTGATTTCTTAAAACGGTTGAGAAAAACAACTTGACACACTATCTCAAGCTTCTCATTAACTTCAAAAATGGATAGTGTAAACACACTGCTTAGCAGCAGCATTTATTTCTCCACGTTTAACAATACACATATAATTGGAAGAAACTGAATTAATCTATGAATCAACTTCTAAGATGACTCCGATTCAATCATGATCCAGTAAAGCACTCGTCAATAATACCCTATCTGCTATTATTACTATCAGTTTATGAGGTGAACCCCCTCAAGATTGGCAAACAAGTCTACTAGCAGATAGAGTATCAAGTAACTAGTTATCGTGAAGCGGTTTACACATTCCAATTTAATAATTTCCTTTAGGTTAAGTAAGACCAGTTTTCCGAAGACTGCATTTTATTAGCGTCTTCATATAACGAAATCACATCAGCTAAATAATTTAAACCGTGATACGTCGTCAGTGGTTCAGTGATAGAATGTTTACCAGTTATGAATATGGTGCAGGTTCGATTCCCGGCCGACACAACACTCCAAAACCTCCTTAACCCTGTAGTAGTAAGTAGGGTAAAGATGGAGGTAGGTTGGCTGTCAGACTAATAACTTCACTCCGTACAAAAAAAAACCGCTACTGAAACTTCAAATCTCGAGCTTCAATTCGTATTTTTCACTCAGAATGCCAGATGAATAAAAAAACAAGTTAAATAACAATGATATTTCCACGCTATTAAGTAAATTGCTAAGGCACTGGAATCATTAATAGGTTCTGCTGGGAATTAAACAGTGCAGTTCTAGTTGTAATTATTATTACTAGTTCGTCTTGAACCATCAAATACAAAACAATAATTCAAAGTGCGATGCGATAACGACTTTCCTAGCTTGATGACTGACAGAATGCAGTCAGCACCACTAGCTATTAGACACACACTGATGAGTAATCAATAAAAACTGTTATATTTCGTTAAACTCAACCGTTATTATATCAACTTTAAATGCCACATTCGTCGGAAGGGGAACTATATCATTCGATGTTAATCCCAACTACTGATTCAAGTGATTCTGTGTGGAAAAGTTTTCCCATAGTCAGTTCAATTTCCAATATCTTAAAACAGACATCATGAAGCTTCTTTATACGAAGATAATAGTTGAATAAACGTATTGCACTGCATAAGCTTAGACGCTTAATTATCAAACAGCATTTAAATAAACTGGTTATACTATAAAATACAATCACTAATTTATTACCTTGCGTGCTCTAATTTCCGATAATGCATTCATCGTTTTCTAAACAAACGAAAAGAAAGAGAGAAAAAAGAAATAATTACGCGTGATCAGTAACGTATAACCTGACAAGGGTAATAATTGTGTCGTTATTATTATTATTATTGTCCCCCTTGGGTTCCAACTGGAACATAGGAATTCAACAACACATCTAAAATCTCTTCTACTTTCTGCTGTCCTCTTCACCTGGACCCATGATTGCCTATAATATCGCGTCTCCTACTCGCACCCCATAATCCCCACCATGTCATCCTCGTACCGACAACGACCCACTCGTCGTTTCCCATTTCGATTCCACTCGAGCGATGGACTGCATTGCGCACTATGTCATTCGACGGTCTCCTCAGCATGTGGTCAATCCATTTCCATTTTCTCCTACATAATTGTTGAACCATAGGTTTATCGTTAGTTGGTTCACATAGTGTCTTGTTACTAACTTTTTTGGCCTGCCATTTGTTCTTCAGTATGGAGGCAGCGAAGTGGGCAGCTGTTGATAAAAGTTTGTAACTTATTGGGAATGCTTTTCGTGACGTGCCCGCCATGTTTCTGACCCATATAGAAGAACTGACTGACTTACCATCAGTGTCGAAAATCTAAATTTTGTTCTTCACGCTAGTTGAGTGCAGATTTCCAAACTGGTTTCAGACTGATGAAGACGTATCTTGCCTTTCCAAATCTGGGTACCTTTGACATCTTCATCCGTCCCGCCTGCGGTTGAAACAATGCGTCCTAGATAAATGAAACCAGGATGTAACATCTGCTAAATCTCTCCTTTTGATGGTGATTGGTGCTGTTTTGGTGTTGATGTTGCTGTTGGTTGCCTATCTTCATCACCTCCGCCTTCTCTTTGTTCACCTGGAGTCATGTCTTCGCTGCTCGCCTCTTCTGCCAGTTTGTTGGTTTTCGCCTGCAAGTATTCGAGTCTGTGTGACCTTAAACATAAATTCTCCATGAGCGAAATCCAAATCCTCTACAGTCTTCTTATCGGCCTGTCCAAAGTATTGCTGTCTTCTCAATCCCCGCAGTTAAAAGTAGCGAGGTCGAGACTCCTGACCATAATTTTGAAGCGTAAGCAATCCGAAAATTGAACAAAGCCTTGTGTATCCAGAAAAAAGTATTGTTCAACCTTTTGTTCATGTCACAGGCATCATAAAAAGCATAATCTCTCACGAAAATCATTATTGTTTATTCATGTGTATTATTTAAAATTCATTATTTGGTTATCACAGGTTTAAACAACAACAAACCTACTAGGTAAATTTATTTGATATAAAAAAGTGATGAGGTTTTGAGCACAGTTTATCACTCTCTCAATGCTATCAAGGTGCTCACATATTTTTTTTCAGACTTTGTATATGCCTTTTTTTTGCTGATCAATTTCATTGGTAATCTAATTTTGCCAAGAGAAAGACGTTAGTTAGTAAATGCTTGTTCAGCGAATCAATACCGATTACACGCTGATTGCAATCAAAAACAGTAGGAAGGAAGGCTATATATACAGCCAGTTAGGAAGTCTTGTGAATGCATTGATGTGGTATGGGTAAGCGATATTGAGGTTAAGCGTCGAGTGAGTGCCAGGTTAGGAGTGGAAATCAATCGACGAGGTTGTGAAGCAGCTGTATCGATTGAAAGAGATGGTCATGACAAGTGTTACGCATGCATACCTAGCCATAGATCGCTTTCCTCAATGGGCAATGTCAGCTGACTGACGCAGAATCAAGTTGCAGTGAGAAGGAGCTAGTGGTGGTGGTCAAAACAAACATGGCTTCATCAGTCTATTGACTGAAATCCACAACAGTTAGTTCAAGCTAGACACTTATGGAGGTATAGACTTCCTAGTGATGTCCTCGAGACAGTAAGAACCAATGGTTGGAGACAATCGGTGATATGGCTAGCTCAAATCGTCGTTGTCAATGGCTGGCACAGATGCATTCACTCTTTATGGTTTATACTTCTAAATAAAATTATACTTTTCCTCCGCATTACTATTCTTTTTGCGGCAAATGTCTGTTTGTTATCTCTGTTTTGATGAATTTCTCTTCACTGTCTTCTCTTGGTTTGTGTGCTACAAGGCGGTTGTGCGCCAACTCGAATTGGTGGGCGTCTGTGCAAGGTTCCATGTTGAAACTTGTCAGTCAGTTAGTCATATGGCATGAGCAATGAATACTGCTCGAAACATCATCCGGTTATTTATTATATAACTGTCTCAAATAAACCTACACAATATCGAATCATATTCTACTGCATAGTGTGCTTAAATACTACTCTTGCAACAAACAACTTACTTTAAATAATCGATCACGTGTTATAATCATAATTATTGTCGTGTCACTATCAATCATCGCCAGAGGACCATGCTTCAATTCCCCGGTCATAATACCCTCAGCATGCATATACGTTAATTCTTTCAATTTCTACAATGTAAAAGCAAAAATAGTAAACTTCTCTCTTTATATATATATATATATATTAACGATATTGTATTCATACCTCTTGTTCCACAACTATAACCTTAGAGTTGAAATAATTTTTGACGTAGGTTATATATTTTTACATATGTTATGTGTGATGGAGATTTGTAGCTCAGGTGGGTAATATTGAATTAGTGATGCTCTCTGAGCTCAGGGAGTACAACTAATGAAATATTTGTTATGCCCTATATCATTTTTGCGCTGTTAGCAACTGGAGAAAAGCCTTGAAATAAGAAACATGGGTGCTTTTTGTATCTTGCGAATATGTTCGTTCTCTCTTTGTTCACAATAATCAACCGAACTGGATGTAGGAATGAATACTTTCTTCAAAAGTTGTAAACGCTTCATAATTAAACAGTTCATCATGTGGAGTGTGCTACTGATTTGAGATTTGTCAATAGTAAATACAGAGACGTCCATTGGTATATAAAAATCAAGTTGTAGGAAGATGGATTTGATGTCAAAGAGAGCAAATGATACAACGTTTGGGCAAAACATGAGAGACACGAAAGAAACACAATATGAAGGAAGGCCAGAAGTAGCAGGCACTACACGGAAGATCTGTGCAAATAATGCGTTGAACATAAGGTGTAGATAATTTCGCTATATGGCGGGCGATACTACCGTTACAATCAACCTATAATTTATTACCAACGATTTTTTATGATGTGTTAGCTAGGCGTTGTTCGTTGTTCATTAGAGCGTCATTTTAAGGAACTACTTCTAACTTCATTTAAGTGCATTATCTCAAATGTATGATAACTCGAAGTGATGCTCAGCTTCTAGAATTTAAGATAAAATATATCGAGACTAAATAACATAATGCCACTGACCTTGACGCGCTTTTCGATCACTACGTTACGTTAACATAGTTACATAAAACTCTTATTTTTGTGAAATATCTTGCCAAAAAGTTGCAAAAAACGATTGCAATTATTCACCTTTCAAACACTGAATCTTTGGATATGATATCGTTGATCGATAATACCTATAACTATCTATTTGCCACTCCGTGCTTGTTTAACACCAACTAATATCTGTAATTCATATGAACTGTGATCAAGATTTGACCGGATAGTTGCAAAATAGTTGAGCGCTGAGTGAGAAGTAGGCATTTATAAAATTATATTTGTAAAATCTCAGCGAAATTGAAATGATTAATTCCAACGTTTCGTTCGGCAAACGAAACGTTGGAATTAATCATTTCAATTTCGCTGAGATTTTACAAATATAATTTTATAATATCTGTAATTGTATATATTGATGGATTTACATGTTCAAGTTGGCTCAAGTCAGTGAGTGTATGATTTTGGTATCATTTTGGTTAACTGTAATTGACTGTGATATTATGATTGTTGTCGTCACTTGTTATCCTTCTTGTTGTGAATTATTTTCCTGTGCTGGTGTTGTTCTGATTATTTTATTCCTTGTTTTCCTGGTTTTAAGGGGAGCAACCCACAAGGTCGCTTCTGTCTAAACTATATTTTAATGTAATAATCTCCTTCTCAAGTGTGAGGCTAGCAACCCCACCCTGTAATGAAAGTTGCTACAGAAACTCCAGCACGAGATAAAATTTACTTTCGCCATATTCGGTTGGTATCCCTTTCGAACTATTCCCATGTTATATGGTATAAAGCCTATCGTGACCAGAGGAAGACAAGACAGTACACCACGAAGTTGTTGACAGTTGGTGTCAGTCGTCTAGAGGAAAGGCAGGCTGCTTGGTTTGAGTCTATATTGGTAACCGTAATTTACAGCTGACAGTCTAAATCACGAGAAAAGTATTCCCTACTTTGTTAATATATCTTGACTATAAGGTATAGTATTCCTAAAAGAGATGGCAATTGACTTGGACAACTACACAAAATCAAGACACAACGTGAAAGTGGCTATCCATCACGATTTATAGAAAAACATATAAAGCCGAAAACAGACAAAGAACAATCGATCTCTGTGCCGAAAAAGATGCAATACATGAATGTGGCGTTCAAAGACGTCCTTATAGCCGACATCTTAAAGAGAAGAATATCTAAGGCCATGGAAAGAACATTCTCTGCTGTTACATTACAATTGGTATTCTCAAGCCGTCCATTGTTCTTCAACAACTCCACAGGTAAACTATCGCATTTGATCAGTTCTATGTGTATCTACCAATTTGATGCTCATGTGAAGCGAAATATATAGGTCGTTCGATGCATATAGTTTATCCAAAAGACTCAAAGAACATTATCCCGCTTGGCTACGAAAAGGTAACAGTGGATTTATACACACAGAAGAAACTTCTTCACCCCCTCCTTCTACCTTGGGTATAATTCCAAGTCCTAAAACTTTGTTAATAATGTTTTGTTTTCTAAATTTTTGTATGGCATCTTAATGAAACCTTCTTCTTAAGCAACCCTTTATTTACTCTTTCTACCTATTACATATTTAATTCTTTTAGACACATGTCTCCACTAACATCCTATTTCATACTATGCAACCCTTGCCAATACCTACTAATCTTCACCTCACTAGTTACAATTTTGATTATTCATCACATTTTAAGAACATTTTGATCACGTAAACTATAACCCTAACTGAGCTGACATTAGTTAGAGAACCACTGGAAAACCCGGGAGTACTGGATAGCTGTTTCGTCCTAGTTTGGGACTCTTCATCAGCACGCGCCCACCGCCAGGGTTCGAACCCAGGACCTTCTGGTTACAAGGCAAGCTAGTATACCATTAAGCCAATGGGACCCGATCCAATGGCGCCAGTTCATGAATTCTAACTTCTGCCAATTCACGACATAGCGCGACTTCTAGCCAATGTCTTCGGCGAGTATTTGTCCTCGCCTGGCTAGGGGTCGCGCTATGTCGTGAATTGGCAGAAGTTAGAATTCATGAACTGGCGCCATTGGATCGGGTCCCAGTGGCTTAATGGTATACTAGCTCGCCTTGTAACCAGAAGGTCCTGGGTTCGAACCCTGGCGGTGGGCGCGTGCTGATGAAGAGTCCCAAACTAGGACGAAACAGCTATCCAGTACTCCCGGGTTTTCCAATGGTTCTCTAACTAATGTCAGCTCATGATGAAAATCCTGTAACCAATCAAATCCCTACAAATCAACACTTGAATATAACCCTAACTAATTTTTATTTTATTTTTGTTTGACAATCCTAATGTACACACACACACACACACAAAATAATTATATATGAATGAGATTATACAGCTAATTGAATCAATTCGCCGTCAAAAAGTGACTATTCGCTGAAATTTTTTGTTCTTATAACCATGTATATATGGGCATTTTCCGTGAATTAAAAATCAATTCAGCTTTAACTTTCGTCTGACTTTAAAACTAACTACATGAATCGGATACTCACAAAAGCGATGCATTAATCGAAGTAAAAGAAGAAGGGGAAATGTATAACTTCGCTTACCAAAGCACCTTCAAGACATGTTGCATAGTTGTATCCACGACCCATAACCAAGATACTTTTCTTCATATATATTTTCTCAGCCAATTCTTTCAATGATGAATCTAATTTTAGGATGGATCGAATTTGATCTAAGAAAAAAAAAGAAGAGAAAATACAACATGGAAGGTATTATAAGTGACAGCTTGGAACATAATTTCACACTGTCTCTCCTCGTACATTTTATATTCATGTTTAGAAGTAATACTGAAGTTGAGAAAACAATGCTTTGATATTATCAACACATCAAATGACCTTACTTCATGGACTTGATAGGATGTGTTATCATATGGAGTGATGAAGAGCTGAAAAAAACATTGACACTTTCGGAAGTTTTTAATTAATGGAACATTAATAGAGAGAAGACCGGCAGTTCAGCGAAGAGTCTCCTTTCGGCGAATTTATATGAACCTCGACTTCAAAGGTGACCTACTAAGTGATGTCCTTAGGAAGAGAATTTCCACTTCTTTAAGAAGAACTTTCTTCACACCAACACTGAGAGTAGTGTTCTCCAGTCGCCCACTGATCTGCAGGGGCCCAAAGGACAAGATGTCGTACCTCACCAATTCAGTGTGTATATATCAGTTCACCTGCTGCTGTGTAGCCAGGTACATCGGTCATTCGATGCGCATCCTGCCAAAAAGAGTCAAAGAACACTATCGAGCGCGGTTGCAGAAAGGAAGTAGTGGCCGTATAAGGAGTGCGATAATCGAACATCTTGCCAACACTGGTCATTCCATCTCAACAAACGCCTCCTGCTTCAAAGCAATCTAAAAAGTGAAGAACAACCTGCCAAAGACAATACATTTCCGTTTTCTTCACATTGCAGAAGCCCTAGCCATTGAGTTAGAAGAACCAGAACTATGCATACAAAGGAGAACTATTCAGCTGCTTCTACTATCATGATAACAACTCGGTTGATTTGACTTAAGATTTGCTTGTGTTTTCTAGCTACTTCAAACTCTTACGTAATTCTGTATTTAATTTTGTTTCCATGTTCACCCTGAGCACAACTCTCTCATAGAACTATTCATGTTATTACGTAACTCTTCTTTAACAACTGTTTGTGACAACTCATCACTTTTATTATTACCCTTTTATATCAACATTCAATTCATCTGAACTTACTAATTGTATTTTCGTTTGTCAAGTTTAATGTACAAAATGACAATATATATTTGCGATTGTACAGCTGTGAAACTGAATTCGTCGGCGAAAAGAGATCCTTTGCTGAACTACTGGTCTTCTCACTATCGGAACTGACTGAATACATACTAACGGGCTATTTTAGCTGTGAACTAAATATACATTTACAGTGTTACTAATAATACTTTATTAGTACAATGTTTACCAGAAGGAAAACAACATTCTCTGTTATTCAGCCTATAAGATACTAGTGGTACATAGATTTCATTACTCCAGGTGATTGCGCAATGAATAACATCAAGGTGAATTTTGATCTGATTCGACTTTCCGCCCTGACCAAAGATCAAGATAAGATTAACCCTAAGGGAAATGACATTGCACTCCAGAGAGCCGAAGAGATTTTCAACTGCACATATCAATCAACAGTGTACTTCCAAATGAAACCTGGGTGGAATTTCATCTTGAACTGTGAGTCTCACGAACATCTGGTTGCACATTCTGTTTTGAGAGCAGCAATAACTGCGGTGGAATACAGGTAGCCTCTTCAGGTTTTTCCCTTTCATAGGCCGTGTCACACATCTGCAGAAGACAGAGTGAACTGCTGCACAGTACACGCATCCTTTGATAGATACTTGGATATCAAATCCACACCAGAGATAGCGGAGGCTAAACAATGCTACAGCTGAGATTTCGTCAGCAATCAGTCAACTCCGGCTGATACAATATAACAAATAAGTGAAGTGGTTAACACACTCAACCACTTAATTTCTTACTTCTGAACTGGGAGTGGAGGAAGACCAGTCCTGTTGTATCACCTTACGTCTGACAAGGACAAGCTCATACCGAATACACTAAGATTTCTGTCCAAGGTGTTCAGAGGATTGTGTATCTTGTCAGTGTCTTCTTCTAGAACGACAATATCATCTACATATTGACTGTTTCTTGGTAACAAGTCAATCCCTAAGTTGCTAAAGTGAATTAAAGTTACATCCATTTGTGCAGCTGTGGTGAAATTAAACGAAAAATGACATTTGGCGTCTCTGTCAGACTCTCTATAAGCTCTTACACGACTACATGAGTTCGAGTGGGGTGCTTCGATTAGTTTGGCATTCTTGGTACTCCCTTCACGACCAGACATCACCACAGCACCTGTCGATCGGCGAAGTCGAATTCCACCTTTAAGTCATAAAACACGACAAGTAATGGATGCTGGTTAGTATGTCTATGTTCTGGAATCTGTCGAAGGGTGAAAATATTATCAGCACACCGTCTTCTTAGTCCAAATCTCCTTAGTATCCACGGGTTTGTTTTTCCTGAGCACGGCTGAGTCTACGCATGATTACCGGAAGTCAAATTTTAGATCCTATGTTAGTCAAACTAATAGTCCCATGATTGTCACAGGGAGACTAATCCTTCTTCTGAGATAGTCAGTGATTGACACTAGTCTAAAGGGAATTACTCTGATTCCCGCACAGTACCTAATATCTTGGCTAACCAAGACAACAGCTCTTCACCACCGTCCTTAAATGTTGCTGGATTCATTTCATCAGGTCTCACTGCACTGCTTCTTTCCAGATTAGAGACAACATTTCCAACTTGAGTTATAGTTAGAGGACAGATGCCTACATTCCACACAGGTAGAGGTTGGATACTGGTTAAATTTATCGTGAATATAGGCCACTTCAAATTCACCGAAAAGTCTTCCAAAGAATGTTACAGTCATCTGTCCTGGAAGGTAATTAAAGTGCCATTTCTTCAATGAGTGTTAATATTTGCCAGCCAAAGCTGCTCATTATGTTCGAAGACGGCCAGAATCAGTCTGCTTGTATTTATCAATTTGCATTCAACACAACACACTATAAGTAACAGAACTATTAGGAACTAAGGAGCATTGGACACGAACTCAGAAACATCTACTCAGTACACATGATTTCTAGCCAAGATCACCAAGTTATAGAATGGGGAGATCATTATTTAGCCCCTGGGTCGGTTGGCATCCAATGAACCATGACTTTCAAACTTTTCACATTTACGGAACACAACCACCGCTATCCACCACCACCACTGGTCATTAACTATTCTCATAATTCAGGTATCAAACCAAAGTCGTTCAGAATTTTCACTAAAACTGCAGGAATTCCATTTCAGGCCTAAAGATCCTTGAGACAGAATTTGATTCGAAATTATTGGATTTATATCAGTAAGATCAATCTTAAGGTAGAGTTTTGTCATGAAGTTACATCAGAATATAAGAAAATTATTCAGCGATGAAATTCGATGGAGATAATGACATACTGCAGAACACAGAAATCATAAATCATTGTGTGGCGTAGGCTGCTGATAAGATTTATCAGTAGTATATTAAGAGACGTTCATCGGCATAAAAACGTCAAATAGCGGGGAGATAGATTTAGTGTTAGAGAAAGCAAATGATACAGAGTTGTAGAGATACATGGGAGACGTGAAAGGGACACAAAGAAACACAATATGAGTCCAGAAGTACCATTACACGAAGATCTGTGCAAATTGTGCGTTGTAGATAAGGTGCACATAATTTGGCTATATACAGATATCAAGTACTTCAAGTATTGGTTTTGTAGGGATTTTTTATTCGATTAGTTAGGGGATTTCATTATGAGCTGACATAGTTCTCTAACTGATGTCAGCTCATGATGAAATCATCCAAACACTTTACCAAGTCTTCGTCTTCTATCGTTTCAATTGTTTGTTTGTTTTCCTTAACGTTCCACAGTGGAACATAAGGCCTCAAGCTATTGGCTTGAAGTTTCTGTAGCAGTGTTTATTTTTACGGGATGGGGTTGCTAGCCTCATGCCCAACCTTTCCTCTCCACCAGCTTTATTTCTGACTTAGCGAGGTAAAGGAGTGCTTCATCGGCCGGGGATCGACCCTCGAACCATGTGCATGGTCAGCGAGCGTTCTAACCGATATGCCACCGACGCACGTGGTTTTAATTGGACTACTAGTAACCTGACCAACAAGTAGCTACATGCATAGGTCTTAAGCTGACGGATGTAGACTTCAGTCAAAGGTGATTCGTTCGCTGAAAGTTCGTCAAAACAAGAATAAACTGCTGAGCATTGCTTTCTCGGCTATCGATGATCTACTACCTAAGTCTACTTTGAAATCAATCAATAAAGTACCTTCAACTCGCCGTGAAGTGAGATGACTAATGTCATCATCCATATTATTTAAACACAGCAGCACAACAGAGAACGCAGAACAGTCACCAATCCTTAAAAGAGTTGATTCATATCCAGTAGACTCTATCTGTTGGATATATTTTTACCCCTTAAATCAACTTGATTATCCAATAAAGAACTAGGTGAACTTCACAACTACTGGAAATGTGGAATTGTGAAAAACAATTAGATTCTTTTTGAAAAAAAAAACAACATGAGGAATTAGTCAACAAATGCAAATATATATATTTATTTGTTTATTCCTGTTTCAGTTTCAATACAAATCTGTCAATCAAGTGTACAATTTAATTACTGAACCAGTTAACATAATATTGTTGTGCACGTTTATTACTTTCTAACGTTGGATGTTAACACCTTTAATCGGTTAACAGTCAATCAAATTTTATATTGAACAAACAAATATAACCTGAAGTTCAAATACACGTTAGTTTGCCTGACTCATCAAACCTTTGCGTTTATATGAAAATTAACTTATTTATTAAATACAATTTTTATTTTCTCGGGTTCTAAGTGGAACATGAGTCTTCAACAGCACATTTTAATCTCAACCTGTTCTCTGCAGTCTTTTTAAACTGGCTTCACGATTTCACCACCTCTTATTCACACGATCTTCTCCATTTCATCCTCGTTACGCGTCTAGGTTCCATTCGACGACCTGGTGCGCGATGTCACTCAACAGTCTCCGCAGCGTGTCTCCCATTCATCTCCAATTAGACAACAGGTTCTTCGTTAGTTTTTCCCCAGGGTTCCATATTGGTAATCCTTTCTGGTCATCTTATTTTTATTATGAGGTGAAGGGAGTTATTACCTGAAGTCTGAAGCCTGTTGGAAGTCTTTTTGGTAACGTGTCAAATCTCTGAATCGCATGGAACAATTGGGTTGACATTGAGTCAAAAATATATATCACGAATTGGTAGAAGTTGAAATTCATGAACCATTGGGTTGGGTCACAGTAGCTGAATGGTCTACGGGCTCTCCCCGTAACCGGATGGTCCTAGGTTCAAACCCCCATGATATGTGTGCACTGTGAAGAAACCCAAACTAGGACGAAATAGCTAGCTGTCCAATACTCCCGGGTTTTTCCGATGGTTCTCTAACTGATGCCAGCTCGTGATCAATCCTCTAGGCAATCAAATCTCTGCGAACCAACACTTGAAAATAAAACACTTGATAGTCCGAATTTCGCTTCTTCATGCTGAGTACAGCATATTTGCACAATTCATTCTATGCCATAAAAGTCGCTAAATTGGGAACTCAAATCGTTGAGAGAGGCACTATAAAAAGCCATGAAGTATTGGAAAGCTGTTTCTTCCTAGAGTTTCGAAGATTTTCAGCATTACCCCACTAACGATCGAGTCCAGGATCTTTAACTGTCTAATACTCCCTGGCTTTCAGTAGTTCCCTAATTGATGTCAGTTTATGATTAAACTTGAAACCAACCGAATCCCTAGAAATCAACGATTTAATATCTCTAAACATTTTTCACTTATTCGTTGGTAGTAAATATCACACAGTAAGAGTATTGTGTGTGCTACTTATGGGGCGGCATAAATAGCATACAGAATGAAATCTTAAGAGAAGCAATGATAACTTGTATGTCAGTGGGAAAGCCAGTGAAGAATAAACTCGAAAGGAAGGTTACAGCGCTGAGAGAGATACAATAAGCAACAGAAAACGATAAACATTACATGCCTAATACACAATGGATGGTATAGTAAAATTAATGCAAGTTTCATAATTTCCTCATAACCATCGAATTTTCGTCAAGTAAACGTAAGGTGTGTCTTCATCAGTTTAGTTCTCATAGGCATATATATATATATGTATATGACGCCAGTGGCTGAGCAGTAGTACCTTTGATAAACAGATATCTGGTCAGGATTCGATTCCTGGCCAACACACTCTTTAAACCCCACCCTAATTTACTAGCAAAATTAACCCCCAGCTTCATGCTCGAAATTCCACATTGTCACAAAACAACACCAGTTCTATTGAAATTTCAAAAAGCTTGAAGCTCTATGTTCTACATGGAATGCAGAATGAGGTGGCACAGCGGTTAGGACACTCGCCGACCATGCACATGGTCCGCGGCTCGATCCCTTGCTGACTCACACCTGATATCAATGGTCGGCCTGCAAAATTGGGCTACCGATACCACATACTGAAAATTCTATACTTGTACCAATAATACTGTGTGGAATCAAGCTATAATCAAAAATTATAAAAAAATATTTATGCGTTAACGTGTTCCCAAACACTACTACTAATACATTACTAACAATTACACAACTTTTAGTTAATTTTATTTTTTTTTAAATTTTGCAACATACCGGATAGCTTTGACAATGCTTCAATAATTCCAATACGCTTTGGTTGGAGTGATATACGATCTTCAGATAATACTAAGGCGAACATAACAAGAGCGATCAGTTGACTTGTATAAGCCTTTTAATTTTCATTTAAAAGAGACAGGAAAAGAAAGAATAAGAATTGAAAAATCAATATCCAGTAGTATGCTGAGAAAATCTGAAATACATAAGTAATAATATTTAGCGAAATAAGCATCAGTACACTGAAAAAGAAATTGCCGTTAGGATTGTATTAGTTAACGCAGAGAAAGTATAGCTGATCAGATAGCCAGCATACACTCGACTTCTGAATGTAACATGGGGCTGCAACAACACATCTACACTTTCTTCTATTTTCTGCTGTTGTCTTCACTTGAAACCACGATTGCCTATAATCTCGCATCCCATGATCTCCTCCATGTCACCCTAGCACCGACAACCGACCCAGTCGTCGTTGCTCACTGGAGTTCCACCCAAGCAATGACTTGTATTGCACCCAATGTCATTCGATGGTCTCCTCAACATGTGCCGAATCCATCCCAATTTTTTCTGCATATTTGTTGAGCAATCGGCCTTTGGTTGGTTTGTTGGCACGGTTTCTTGTTACCATTTGATCTTTAGTATGGAGCCAGAGAAGTGGGCAGCTGTTGATATACGGTTTGCATAGTGTGTTGCAAATCCTTTTAGTGGCAGCCAAATTAAAAAGTAACTACTTTTAAAATTAACAACACATATCAGCTGCACATCGTGGTCCCATTAACGTTTTTACTGTTCTCAAATTAAAACCATTTCAATGTGAACAATGATCGTGGAAAAAAGAAAAGGACTTGAACTGCGGTGAAAATTAATCAATAAATTAAAAAAAAGGAAGATGCTGGTATCTCAAGACAGCTGATGCTTGATCATTGCTGAGGTGAGAAAATAGACTTAAGTCAAGTTAAAAGGACGTATTGAAAGGTCAAAATAACAATGAAGATCATTAAACCAAAGAAGGGAGGTAATAGTACATCTACCCTGGCTAGTATTAAAACAAAGTTTACCAAGGAAGGTTTAGTGTGGTGACGAATTGTTGCTTTGAACGCATAAGGGTGGTTTAAACTTCCTAATTGCTAGGGCTTCGACAAAAACTTTAAGATACGCCCTAAACACATTCTATAGATGGGTTTAAAAGACGTGTGTAAACATCAATTTTATGTCCTGCCCCTACAACGCGTTTCGCAATAGACGATCTAGGTCGTCTGTTCTTATCATTAATGGGTTCTGGCGATTCAATTTGTTTCTGTAGCCATTTAGAAATATGCTCTAAATCCCTTACCTACAGAGATCGATGAATCCTCCCTCCTATGTATGCGTGTCAACAGGTACATTTAAATTGGTAAATAAAGTGGGATGTGACATCATTTTTCACATGTTCTAAGAGCTTAGATGAATGGATATATTGGCTTCACATTCTCAATTATTCTAATGTTAGCTGCATAAAAAGTTGTATGTTTTTTTAACCACAGCGTTCAATCTTTGTCGAGTTACTAAGCTGTTATGATCATCCATATAGGGTAGCTTGATATATACGTCTTTCTTAGTGGCAAGTTGGAGAGTGGGTGTCTTAGTGTTCTGACCACTTTATATCTCTCCTTATGAATTTGTCTGAATAATTATTATCAACCAGAGATTATGTCAATTTTCTTTAATTTAATGATTTTATTTATTTATTGAATTTACTTTTTACCGAGAAATATTTAATGATTACTAGTCAACATATAAAATGCACAAAATAGTAAAAAGGAATAGAATAAAAGCTTTGTAAACAACCTTTAGTTATAACTTTCAATATATTAACACACCCTCTCATTACATACGATTTATTGCTGTTATTGTATTTCTTTTTTTCCCCATTATAGTAATTAAAAACATAAAGACGGACACACCGAAACTTGATTAAGAAAACACAAGTGACACTTTACTTACCTTTGTACTAGCCACACCAATCTCTGGACCAGCATTGATATGCACTCCACAATGTGATTCACGTGAAATCGATGAACCGACAGTGTTTGTTATGCCAACAGCTAGCGCACCGCGACTAATACAATAACGCATAGCTAATAAAGTGTCTGCTGTCTCACCGGATTGACTAATAAATACACAGACATCATCACGAAATATTGGTGTCTTACGATCAAGTAAATCACTGGCTAATTCAACCATAACTGGTAGTTCAGACATTTCTTCAATAAGTGCACGTGTCTAGACATTGAATAATGGAAGAAAGAAAGACAAAAAGATAAAAATAAATACAATATAGTAGTGATTTTTAAGAAAAGTTATTTATAGATGTTAAGAATAAATAGCGGTCTGTATTATTTGACATTATCTAGTAGTGGAACTCACTAACTCACTACTCAATCACCAACTACTAGATTTACCTGTACCTGTAATCTCAGTGAACTTGACTGACTGTTCTCAACCAAACGCCAAAATAAAAGAATAATGACTTTTACAGTATTAAATGTGAACACCTTTTATTTCGACGCTTCTGTTCAACGGAAAACAGCATAAAATATATATAATAGTATTAACGAAATAAGGACGTATATGCTTGTTTCGTGTTCATTCTACTCATCAGGATCATAGTTTTAAAGTTACAAGAATGGTTGAAATGTGATGAGAAGAAAAGTAGCTAGTTATTTATCATAAGGTTGTAGCATACTCCGTAAAAACAGCCTGAGACTAAAAGATTCCCAGTCCCTAACGAACACCAATGACCGACATTGTAACGAATGGGGGGGGGGACACACAGTGGATATTCAAACTGTATTTATCATTATCAGCCGAAAAGAGAGATATTCAACTTTACTTTGATTTGAATGTCAATCTGAACGTACATTAAGTTCAAAGATTCGAAAAATCTGTTCGGATGACATGATAGAGAAAGAAGTAAATTTATTACATGAAACCCTACTAGAGAACACGGGTATCCACCAAGATTCATAAACAAAAACATGAAAGAGAAGCCTCCGTCTCCAAACATCGCAACTGTTCCTTAGAAAACCTGGAATTCAAAGGTGACATAGCAGCAGAAATTCTTAGAAACCACCTTTTTAAATGTCTGAAGAAGACATTTCCAACAGCCACCTTATGTATCACATTCTCTAGCAGACAGTTAATCCAGTCTAACGTTAAGAACAAAATACTGCTATTGGCCACCTCAGTGTGTATTTATCAGTTAACTTGTTCACGTGGAGCAAAGTATATCGGCCGCACGCAATGTCAAGTCCACAAACTTATTCTGGAACATTGTCCAGCTTAATTAGTCAGAGGAGAAAAGAAGAATAGCTGAAGCTCCATCCTCGAACACCTTGCCATATCCGGACATCGAGCACCCTCGCATGAATGTTTGACAGTGCTACACAGGAGTCCCTCAATATCTCAAAAAGGGGCTTCGAATATGCCATCTGTACATAGCTGAAGCCTTAGCTACTCAGGATCTGAAACTGGAATTCTGCATTTAAAAGCGATACATACATCCACTCACCCTATCGTGGCCAGAGTAAAGTTCTTACTATAATTTTGTATCTTTTTATTATGTAAGTTTATTATTGTTATTATCATTATTGTTTTATCATTATTATTCCCATTATCTATATTTTATTACCACTCTATTACTGTTAATTAATAACATTGCGTTTTCATGCAGATTTTGTACAGAAACACTTTATCGTCTTCCCACTAGTTCCTGTCCATTTTCCACGATCCTATTGATTAGTCATTGTCTCACACTTATTACGTCATGCCAACTTCTGCCTCTTTTCTAACTGACAATAAGTCATCCCTTCTAGGTTTCGCCTTACATTACGTAACACTTTCTTCGAAGACAAAGTTTACCAGTATCTGATTGGTTTAATGATTTCTTTATTGAATATAATTACGATTGTACAGCTCATGAAAATGAATCGTCGAAAAGCAACTTTTCTTCGCTGTTTACGTCTTTTTCTTATGACTCAATATGGGAATATATCGTTCAATATTCCTTTCAATAATTTCTTCTTTTCAGGTCCTTACAATAGTAAAATATAGTATTTGTTACGGGTTGGACCATGGATTGATATCAGTAAGAGAACCACTGGAAACCAGCGGGGAGTACAGGACAGCAGTATAGTCCTAGTACGCATCCACTGGTTTTCGAACAGAGAACCTTTCGCTTACAAGACAAGCTCGTATTCCATTCAGCCACTGGGACCCGACTTAGTGGCCAGCCCTTGAATTCTAATTTCTACCAATTCGTGATTTTAGTGCGACTACCAATCAATATCATCGGCGGTAACTGCATCCTCACTCCCGACTGGATGGGCCCCCCTGGTCCAAAACTAGGAATATACTACTGTCTTGTACTCCTTGCTGGTTTTCAACGGTTCTCTAACTGACTTCAATCCATGGTCGAACTCGAAAAACAAATCAAATCCTTATAGATCAACTCTTGCATAATATTGTAACGACAACAAATATTATATTTTATTATAGTAAGGACCTGAAGAGAAGTAATTATCGAAAAGAATACTCTTTGTTAAGATTGACTCTTAATTCATTATGATATGGGAATATTTTACACTGTTAAATCTTACTTTGATTAGCTGAATCTATTTCTGTCATGGCAACTGAACCAAACGTGTGTAAACACAAACAGAAAGAGACTGTGGTGATTAATCTCAGTTCATCCTGATTTCAATTTTCTCCACTTATTGCATAATTGTGTATTTTGTCTGTTTGTTTATTATTTCTTAATTTTTACTATCTTAATTGTCATTACTACTATGACCTTATAGTTGACCCATTGACCTTAACACAATTAATGGATCTCAGATCACGTCATCCTTTCTTTTCCATGTTGTTGTTGGTCAACTAGTAGTTTTGGTGTTAAGTCAACCACAGGAAAACGTGTGGAATATTCTTTCAAACTTATGATAAATAACCATTTACTCTGTGTGTGTGTGTATGTGTCACTTAACCAATTATGCTACCATCACATTGCACGCATTGCTGTTTCTTTAAAGCTGTGATCCTATTGTTAAACTTTTTTTAAGTTAAAAAGAAAAAACAAAGAATTACACGTCTTTATTTCACTAATACAATGTATATTTTGTGCGTCGGTGGTTCAGCGGTAGACTAATGCTCACGTGGTTCGGGGTTCGATCCCCGGCCAACGCACTCCTATACCTCTCTAAGGCAGTAATTAAAGCCGGTGAAGAAGGAATGTTGGGCGTGAGGCTACCACCTAAAAATGAAACCACTACTACTGGAAATTCAAAACTGTAGCTTGAAGCTCTATGTTCTACTGGGAACGTAAAAAAATAAAATAATAATGATAAGATGCGGCAGTAATTCATCCAAGAAGACATTGCGAAATGGTCGCACTATGTCGTGAATTCGCAGAAGTTAGAATTCAAGGACCATTGGATCGGGTCCCAGTGGCTCAATGCTCTACGAGCTCGCCTTGTAACCAGAAGGTCCTGGGTTCGAATCCCGGTGGGTGCGTACTGTGAAGAGTCCCAAACTAGGACGGAACAGCTGTCCAGTACTCCCAGGTTTACCAGTGGTTCTCTAACTGATGTCAGCTCATGATGAAATCCTCCATGCAATCAAATAATAACAAAGCATATTGTAGACAGTCTACAGTGGAAGGCAGAGCCATGAAAAAAAGATGCACACATTCTAGACTGTAAATCTTATTCTCCTTGCTTAAACACAAAGATGACCAAGGGAATACACTCACTCCATGTGCATAGATTTCAGTTTCGAGAATAAATTAACAGAACCGATGCTCTCTGTGGAGTGCAAATGATGAAGGTGCTGACCTCCAAAGAGACGGAAATCCACTTTTTGAATTCTACCAATAGCTAATAACAACAATCACATATATAACTAAGATGTTATTACAATCAAATACGAAGCGTTTATAAGAGAGGATAGACTACAAAACAGACTAACCAATTCAAACCTAAGAATGAATGTACACTCACTCGCACACACAAGGTAATTACAATTAACTATAGTTTTGCCTTCTATGTGCAAAACAGTTTGCCAAAGACAAACCTTCAACAATTAGTTACATCGACTGGATACTTAAGAAGATATAATCATCTGCAGACACTGCTATTATGTGCTGAAACAAATAACAGAGGGGTTATCACTATGTAACAAGAAGTAGCCTTGTGTTTTAGATTTCAATGTCAATTGAAAATCCTTTGACTGATTATTGGCAATGTGTGTATTATCACTCCTCACAGGATAATAACTTTATGGCTCACAGACTGATACGTGAGAAAACCGTTCCAAGCAATTGAGTTTTTCAATATATATTGCAGAAGATTTGTAGCTCAGGTGAATGATTTTGAAGTATGCACTGAAGATGTTGTCTAGTAAGGCAGTGAAAGCTTAGCAATTAAACCATCCAGCTCGCAGAACACAATTACATCAAAAATTGAGTTTAAACATTAAGAACATCATAGAAGATACATGATATATGAATGAAACCTTTTAACGCCTACGAAATAATGCTGATTACATAGGAAATTTCCAATGTATTTCTGCCTATACAGTCTTAGTACAACATAAGGTACGCGCTTAATAAACAGTGAACCTATCGTCTCTAGATTTACAACTGTGTGTGTTTACTTACAATAATCAAAGAGATGTACATCCTGAACTAAGACGAACGAATTTTAGCCAATGAATTAGCATGGCAAACATTGTTTCATATCTACTGAGATTCATATAGTGTCAACATCTATGGAAGAACACACAAAGTTACTAGGTTACCTATTATAATAAGGACACAGTCGGTGAGGTGGACACCTATTGGTTTATCGGATTTATGAGGGATTTTAACTGACTTGAAGATGATTTTCGTCACAAAATGACATCACCAACTAGAGAAACAATCAAAACCAAAGACAATTGGAGAGTTATATTGTCCTATTTTATGAATCTCAAGTACTAACCACCTAACCATTTACCAATAAGTTATGGGCTACTGAAGTGACAATATGAGTTTTATCCTACAAAAGATTGTGACATTTTACCATGACTGGCTTGGAAAAATGATTAAAAGTTGAAAACTGTTTAAAATGTGTGTGAGTACATTTGGAGACTTGACGACATGACTGAATGATTAAAACAATGAGATCTGCCGAAAATTTAATGCATCATGTTGGATGGGAACTTAGACAGCCCATTGATACAGACACAACCCAGTGTGCATCGGCGGTGCAGAGGCAGAATGCTCGCCAGCCACGCTACGCGCGGTCTAGGGTTCGACCCCTAGCCAACGCACTGCGAAACCTCTCTTGGCTGGTTATAAACCCGGCAAAAGGGGAAGGTTGGGCGTGAGACGAGCAACCCCATCGCATAAAAATAAGCCTATTGCTACCAAAACTTCATATCGTTAACTTGAAGCCCTATGTTCCACTGGGAAAGCAAGAGAATACAATTAATAATAATAATAAAAATTGATAGAGACAAGCCACCAATCGATTGTAAGTTTACAGACCAGTGCTAAATTCAATAATATTTAAACAGAATCAGAACAGAAGTATATCAAAATGAACAGTGTTATATAGTTAGTAGATTACATAATAATGGAAAACTTACTGCAACAGCACTATGATAACTAGTTCCACAACCAATGAATATTAATCGATGACACCGACGAATTGAACTTAAGTGTTCAGCTAAGCCGCCCAATTTCACTGTATTCATGTCAAATTTCACTCGACCTCTCATTGTATTCAAAACTGAGTCCGGTTGTTCAAATATTTCTTTTTGCATGAAATAGTCATAATTACCTACAACCACAGAAAAAAACAAAAAGAAGACAATAGTAGTAAAAGAAAGAGGACTGGAAATCAAATTCAAATTTTGAAAATTAGTAAGCTATTTGCGGCAGTGTACACAGGGATGAAATCCCATTCTAATTTCCTTTGAAAACCAAATGATTCTGATTTTTCCGATATGTGATCAGTTTGATAGCGTAAATGGTAATAAAGGAAAAAGAAAGCATAGTAGCACAGAAATATATACCAGCTATTGATTGAGATGAGTACTTGTCTGCCATCAGTATCAACCAGCAGTACTTGCTAGGCAGATCACGGTGATCTAAACACCGGAAGGGCCGTTTCGCTCGTTTGGGGCCAACGTCATTACACTTAGAAAATAATATAAAATACAATCTGAACAGGACAGAAAACAGCAGAGAAATATCAAACAGTGATCGATCGATACAGCTAAACGGATGCATACATGGTTGGTGTGCAGTTCAGTCTGAGTTGAATATTGTCAAGGGGAGAAGTTTAAAGGAAGTCAACTGTTTCAATTATGTAGACAATATCATTTCAACTATAGGCGACAGCATGGATGAGGATGTCAAATCCAGCCAGGATCGGAATAGCACGACAAACCTTCATTATTCTGAAATTAGTGTGAAAATCTATTGCACTCAGCATAAAAAGAGACAGATACGGATTGGCTATACAACAGTCAATGCTTCTAAATGGTTCAGAGACTTGGTGCATTACGAAAAGTATTTCCAATGGGGTGAAGATTTTCATCAACATCTGCTCTGTCTTCGTTCTACACTGAAGATCACATTGTTAAAAAACATTAACAAGGAACTCTGGTAATCAATCAACCTAGAGGCTATTGACAAGACGAAGATGAATCGGACACACGATTTGGAGACCGTTCAATGGCATTGGGCGCCAAGCCCTTGAATGGAATCCTAAATGGGATAGATTGGTTGGGCGTGACTCCGAGGGTGACATGGAGGAGATTCTATGAAGAGGACTACAGAAAACAGGATGAAATGGAGATGTTCCACCTGATATCTAAGTAAATAATAATAATGAGAAGAATAACACCAAGTCGAAACCAAGGAACTATGCACCTAATCACAGGAGCAGTACATCCCATAATTCTAAAAGCACCGACTTCAATTCAACTATCAGTGTGCGTCAGTGACACAGCTGTAAGGACTCCCAACGACCATGCACATGGTCCTTGGGTTCAATCCTCTGCCGACGCACACCTGGCATCAAGCTGTAATCAAAAAAAAAAATATATCTATGGTCGGCCTACAAGATTTGGGCTACCGATATCACATGCTGGAAATTCCATACTTGTACCAGATATACGGTGTGGAATCAAGCTACAATCAGAAAACAATTTTTGTTTCTAATAAGAAAATATTGGTTGTCTGGCTGTCTGGCTTACCCTTCATAATTTGCTGTAATTCCATTTGCAGGGTGACAACTTCACGTGTAGCAGAAGCACTTCTTGATAAACGATGAATTGTCAGTTGGCCATTACGGACAGCAGCAACATCATCATCTTCTAAAAAGATCACTTTATCTGTATGTTCAATCAGTGCACTGCAAAAACAAAAAATAAATAAACAAAACAAACATTGATTACCAGTAAATAAAAAGGTAAACTGATCATAACTCATAGTTTGAGCAATAACACGAAAAATGCGAGTATAACCACTGGGATGTTTGATGACTTTGAAATTTAAATTTGACCAATTTTCTTAAATAAAATTTTATTTACTAATTATTCAGATAACCAGTGATTTCATCTCACACACTCAGGAAATTTAGGTGAACAAATAGGTGTCTATCTAGGTCAGCTATGCTTCAGTTTAGGATATGTCTCATTATAATATATGCACAAGAAATAACAAATAAATAGATCACCATAAAAGCGAGTCAATATTAACTCAGTAATAGCACACTAATATATTCTGATGACCGTCACGCATAACTTAATTTAAGAGTTACGACACACTAATGCTTTAATACACCATCTTAAACAACTTAGTCAGCTTACCAAAAGCCTCTATCCTTAGAAATAGTCGTGGGTGATTTAAAAAAATGTTTATTCCTTTACGTTCCCAGTGGAATATAGGGGGCTTCAAGCTAGAAACTTGAAGTTTCAGTAGTAGTGGTGTTTATAACTACGAGATGGGGTTACCAGCCTTACTCCAAACCTTCCCCCTTTACCAGTACTATTACTGGCTTAGAGGGGTAAAGGAGTGTGTCGACCGGGGACCGAAATCCGGACCACATGCGTGATTGGTTGGTAAGCATTCTACCGCTGCGCAGACGACGCACCAGTCGTGGATGAAGTGTCTTATAAAATACCACAGAATTCAGGACTTCAGCTCAGATGTTGACTTCGCTTCATTGATCAATATGCGTTAATCATGGCACACTTTGTTCATTTTAAATAACAGAAATAATTATTTCATATGTTGTGATATGAATGCTTAGGATCTTAACATAATACTTGGCCCATTCCCTTTCTTATTCAATTAACGCTACCGTTTCGTGTGTGTGTGTGTGTGGATATTCTTTCGATTTTGATAATCTTCTCTTTATAAAGTAGAGAAATGTGAATTCGTGATTAAATTTTGCGAAACACAACCATCTCGTATACACAATCGACTTGGAAAGGTGTGTTGTTTGCTCAATGAGTTGAGAGTTATTGACTTCTACGATCCTAACTAAAGCAAAGGCTAACTAGAACAACATCTGATAGCAAATCTTGAAGGCCTCTCTCTGACTACTGATCTCATCGATATGGGGTGATGTAAGTTAACTAGACGAAGTTATCAAGATGTTAAGAATAAACACTTCAGAAATCTTAGTAAGAACATTCACGGTTTTCTACGTTGACAAACACACATATAAACACATGTTTATTCTCCAAAGCCTTAGAAATTTCTCTCTTCATTGACCTTCATTTACTATTTCCTTCTGCAATCACTGTTGTGTTTTATCCTGTAGGCTATCAATCAATATCTACTCTCATTTTATTTCTATGCGCTGTTAACAAAAGTTGGACTACTTAAATTAAGGCGCCAATGAGCAAGTTTCTGATTTCGCCTATTTTACTAGCTCGCTAGTTTCCTAGCCGGTCCCAATCCTGGGAAAGGAGAGAGGGTTGAGCGTGGGGCTGACAACCCTAGTCCAGAAAACAAATCAAACTGCTACAGAAACTTCAATACATAAGAAAATCAAATGACTAGAGAGAATTAGCAACAAGAAACTCTGGCTGAGAACAAACCAACCAAGAGCTGATTGCTCAAAAAATATGCAGAAGAAAATGGAAATGGATTCGACAAACGCTGAGGAGACCATCGAATGACATCGCACGCAATACAGGCCACAGCTCGAGTGGAATCAGAATGGAAAGGACGAGTGGGTCGTTGCCGGTGCGTGGGTGACATATAGGAGATCGTGAGATACGAGGAGGAGATGCGAGATCATAGGCAATCGTGAGCCCAGGTAAAGAGGACAGCAGAAAAAAGAAAGCGGATATGTGTTGTTGAAGCCCTATGTTCCACTCGGAACCCAAGGGAATTGTAAAAATCAAAATAAGTGATAAATGAGTAGTTTCTAAGTAGTCTTACTTTGCTGGTTTAAAATTTTGATTAGTGAGCACACAGACAACCAATCCATAGTTTTATAGTGATAAATTATATAAACAGACAAGTATCACTTTGGTAATAGTAATTCACTGGGTAGTGGTCTAAAACTACGCAAAAAATGTTACTCTGTGGCAAATGATGAAAAGCATTTAACCCAGTATGACACACACACACAGCTGCATGGATACGTGAAAATAACTTCTGCAGTACACCACAAGTCTTTCCTATTCCTAGACAAAATAATTCTTAACTCTTCGCATATTTTTTTCTTTATAATGAAGCACAGAATCTTTTCTTCACTTTCATCTTAAGCATATGAGGCATTCATTCGTTTAGATTGCACAGCTCAATTTTTAATACTCACAGGAATTTAAATAACTAATTATTTGAAGCATAACTAGCTCCCAATGCTAAGCGTTTAAGTCGTTATTTAAAACTGATAAAGGATAAATCTAAGCCAACACCGTAACAGTGCGTCGGTGACACAGAGGCAAAATAATGCTCACCAACCATGCAGGTGGTTCGGGGTTCGATCCCCGGCCGACGCACTCCCAAACCTTACTAATCTGGTAAGTAAGGCTGGTAAAGAGAGAAGTTTGGCCGTGAGGCTATCAACCTCGTCCCGTAAAAATAAAAACCACTGTTACCGAAACAGCAAAGCTCTAGCTTGAAGCTCCCTATGTTCCACTGGGAACGTAAAGGAATTTTTAAAAAATACTGCAACGGAAACATGTGTAGAGTAATCCAAGTACTTGAAAAATAGGCATTTAACCGGCGACAGTGCATTGGTAGTTTAGCGGTAAGACGCTCGCCAACCACGTAAACGCCTATTTTTTTAAATCTAAGAGTATCCATAAAAATGTAAGTATTGCAATGAATATGCCTTGAATAGGCTCTTTTATACAAACTTCACTCTAAAAAACCTACTTACCTTGCACAACTTGCAAAGAAAAACTCAATTTCTCTATGACCATCTGCACCACTTAAGAAATGTGTCACTTGATCTGGTATCTCTGTATGTTCCTCCTCACTGACTTGAGTTCGAATATTGTAAGTTGTATTTGGAGCTGTACAGCAAGATTAATAGGAGTAAAATGAGGAATTAAAAGGGAATAAGCAGTTAGCCTAAAAACATACAGACTAAATAAAAGACAAAATTCGTGGGTGAATAAACACTGTCGTATGTGTGGAAGCTTAACTAATGTATCTGTCTGCCTTCGTAGACGTTGGTCATACTAATACCAAACACTAAAAGTTTTATGCACACATATCTCTTTAGGGAATATTCTGCTTGGCTATCTCCTGGAGAATGCCAGTCGATTAATGGCTATACTAAACATTTGACTGAATCTGATCAGTCTGCTTCACCATAAACAGTAGGGTTAGATAGGGTTGACAAATCTCTTCATTTCTCTTTAACTTTGCCATCAAGTACATTTCGAAGTCAGCTCTGAGGGACGTGAGTAGTGTTAGCGGTGAAGATCTGCTCCCTAGACACAGGCTTTCCGACCTTCAGTATGCAGACGATGTCGTTTTACTGTGTGATAGCATGCAAGCTGTACAAATCGTACTCAATTAGTATCTGTAAGTATAGCATGTGCTTTGCAGTCTAAATGCAAAGTAGTGTTACAAGATTGTCAGCAGCCTGTGCCTGCACTCACTCTTTCAGGTGAATCGATTGAAGTTGTCGATAAGTTTGTGCATCTGGGTAATTGCGTGAATGCTGACGGAGATGTGACAGAGGAGATTTCCAGCCGTATCATGAAAGCTAGGGTGGCATACGTCAACTTAAACCACCTCTGGCGCCGTTGCGACGATAGCCTGGCTGTCAAAATCAGGTTTAGAGTGCTTCGGTACGTGCAGTTTTGCTCTACGTCTGTAAAACCTGGCCCCTCCGAACTGACGATGTTCGGCGACTCTGAGTATTCGACCGTCTCTGTTTCCGTAGAATTACTTGCGTTCGATTGGACATAATGGAGATCACCATTCATCGAGTGTCGACATCTAGAAACACTGGCTCCGATGGCTTCGACATATGTTACGAATGTCTAACCAGAAGCTTCTGTACAGGTCTGTGTTTGCTAGCCCTGGGATGGAATGGAAAAGGCGGAGAGGTGGTCAGCCTATGATGTGGCGTTGTGGGATAAAGGATATTTATGTTAGATTACCATCACAACTGCCTGGTTGGGGTCCGAGGGATAGCTCGAATCGGTGGCTCAAAACATTGTTGGATATGACCGAAAAGTCTCAATCAATGGTGAACGTGCTGCGATTTTCTTCTTTCCTTCCCTTTTTGAAAATAATTCGGCGAATACTGTTTGGTCTTGTCAAATATAACTGTTTCGCTCCCAAATGAAATCCTTTGTTCATTCTTTACCTTATTTTTCTCTCATATGTTGTTTTATTAATATTGTGTGGTGCATCCTCTTTGTGGCATATAGTAATAAGTTTCCTGTAAAGTTAAGCTTCAGAACTCAACTGTTTGCTAGAGGAGTTCAGAAAAATATATATCTCTGTTCAAACAATGTATATGCACAAAGAACGTGTCTGACAGTATGTCTACACAGACCCATTTTCAAGCTGCCTCTTATATTATTAATGCAGATTTTCTAAAGAATCGACATCGTTCAAGGAATGATGGAAAACCAGGAAGTATTGGACAATTGTTTCTTCTTAGTTTGTGAATATTTAGCAGTATGCACTCGTGAATCCATACAAACTGAGCATGATTACAACTCAACCATTGAGCTGGAAACAAACGAAGTAGGGATTTCAACTTCCGTAAATTCGCAAATACACAGCCACGCGCAGTCATTATCATTTCATTGATAAGCAACCATCTTCACTTCTAACTTGAACGGAACAGTTGAAGAGCACTTCCTTGTTTTTAATGATGCAACGACTGATGTTATTTCTTGACGAAATCTGGATTGAAATTAATTAAATCCGTGCAAACGCCAACATGTGATGAATATCTCTTCGAGGCACTGTGCAGGAATATCAAGTCATCCATTAACGTACAGATTTTTATGATGATATTAGCTTATACTTATATCAAGTATATCAAGTCCTGCACCTCTTACTCAAATTTTGTGCAAGATAGGCTCATAAAATTTGAGTAAGAGGTGCAGGACTCATACGCTCAGCATGAGAGACAAATTGCATCTTGAAGTGCATATATATAGAGAGAGACAGACAGACACATTATATTCACCTGAACATGTGAATTACAGTTGCAGCAATCAGTTAAGCATATGCTTCATATCTTTTTTAAGACTAAGCTCAATGTTCTGCTGCTCAAACAGTTTACAGTTAGTCATGTGATTACTTTTCAATTATCCAATAATAAAAATAACACTAATAATAGTAGTAATAATTATTATTATAATTATAATGTGGTTTTTCTATTGCTAAAAGCACGTGCTAGTGAAAGAAAATCATCTTGGAGAAACCTTTTATTGCCAACCTGGCTTACAAACTTCAAAGTTCTCATTAATTACTGAACAAGAAACAAACACAACACTATGGCAAGCTATATTTGGGTGTTATGATGCATACAGTTAGTTATCAAGCAGGTGCATGTCACTGAACCTCAGAGAAATAACCACTCTAATCTATTCACCGGTATTTACTTAAGTATTTAAGTATTGGTTTGTAGGGATTTGATTGATTGGTTACAGGATTTCATCGTGAGTTGACATCGATTAGAGAAACACTGGAAAATCACCAGAGAGTACCGGATAGCTGTTTTGTCCTAGTTTGGGACTCTTCATCAGTGCGCACCGACCGCCAGAGTTCGAACCCAGGACATTCTGGTTACAAGTCGAGTTTGCAGACCATTAAACCATTGGGACCCAATCTAATGGTCACCCCATGAATTACAACTTCTGCCAATTCACGACATACCACGACCAATTGCCAGTGCCTTCGGCGACTATTTGTCCTCACACCTGACCTGTTGTAACCTCGCCTTGTAACCAGAAGGTCAATGGTTCGAACCCCGGTGAGTGCGTTCTGTGAAGAGTCCCAAACAAAGACGAAACAGCTATCCAGTGCTCTCTAGTGGTTTTTCAATAGTTCTCTAACCGATGTCAGCTCATGATGAAATCCTGCAACCATTCACCCACATAATTTACCATTATCGTGAAGTACCAAATCAACAAACAAATTTAGAATATCAAAATGATGGTGAATATAACCAATGTTAATTATTCAGTAGAATGCAACAGATGCTGCTTGACTGTCAGCAGTAATGACCATTTCTTTGGTTCCAAGTGGGACATACGGCTTCAGCGACACACCTCTCGTGCACACAGTTGTCCGCCACCAGTTTCAACTGTCTTGACGACTGCCTACAAGCTTTCCTTCTTTCCTTCGCATAATCTTGTCCATATCAACCTCGGATATACGTCCAACCCGTCGCTTTCCATCCCATTTTTACTGGAGGACCTGACAGGCAATATTACTCCACCGTCTTCTCAGAAGACCTCCAACCCATCTCCATACCCCTCTTCATATTTACTGGGTAACAAGTTGTTTATTCATTCACTGTCTGCCAGAATTCTTTCTTGCTTATCCTTTCGGGCTGTCCATATGATCTTTGGTGTTGTGTGAAGGTAGGTAATGATCAAAGTCTGCAACCTGTTCAACGTGCTTTAAGTGACACCTGCACCATGTCTCGGAACCATAAAAAAGCACTGACTTGACATCAATGTTAAAAATTCGGATCTTGTTCCTTTTTCTAAGTGTTGTGGATCGCCATCCTGATTTCAACATCATGAACACTTGTCTTACTTCCCCGATTTCAAAACCGGTTGGCTTTTACATCTTCATCTATACCAGTTATAGTTGAAACAATGCTACTCAGGTAGGCAGGTGAAAGAAACGACTTGTGTTAAACTTTTCCCATTGATGGTGATGGGTATTTGTCAATGGTCAGATATCTTCACAGTTTCTGTCTTCTCTATGCGTTAACCTGAAATACTGTCTTCACTGCTTCTTCTGTCAAATAGTTCATTTTCATCTGTAAACCTTCTAGTTTGTATGACATCCGACATATATCACTGACGAAATTCGGATCTTCTAGAGTCTCTATGTCGGTCCAACGTATACTTGTTTTCTCACTCCACTCATCCTCTCCAATCTACCGCATAATCCAGTCGATGACAATTGAGGAGATCATCAGCAACATTGGGCAGTTTTATCTTACACTTAAAGCACTTCAATTAAGTGAATAACCCATTTTTTACTCAGTAAACGACTATTTTGTACTTAGAATGAATCAGTCATATTTTATCTGAGCTTACATGAACTACAAATACGTTTAAGGTCGTATGAATCTTCTTTTCCCTCCCAGAGTTTTGCTAAAACGAAAACAGAAATCAAAGTATTTTAAGTGGAAGTCAAAATTTTAAACTGTCACACAACTTAGTAGCCTGATAAATAGCATAAGTGGTGGATTATAACAACAGTATTATCATTAGTATGAGTCACAGTAATATAAACACTGTGTGAATCCAGTGATCAAACAATGTATGTATCTGATGCAGTCTTAGGACAAATTGATGACTGATTGAATAGCTTAGTAGTGATATCCTTAGCTGTAAAACATTCAGTGATGTGAGTATAATTCTCTCACAGTAGACAATATTTTCCCGGAAATTGCAGATAATCATGTCCACTAAGGTAAATCACATGACATCGGTTGTTCCGACTGATGGATGGTCAGATTATCAAATTACTGCAGATACACTTTACACAACCTGTCAAATACTATTAAAAACGTAGATTCTAACTAATAATTCCTATGATATCGTGATTCTAGGCTTTCCGTGAGCAATATTAGTTTTATGAATACTACTGTAACAATAGACGAAGACAGGCTTGGTAAAGGAATGCTTATTTGGAATTTGGTATCGCTGTACGGCGAAACTGTGTACATCTTATGTTCAAATCACCATTTTCACAGATCTTCCGTGTTGTAGTACTTCTGCTCTCCCTTTATATTGTGCTTCTTTGTGTTCCTTTCACGTCTCCCATGTATCTCCGCAACGCTGTATTATTTGCTTTCTCTGACATCAAATATATCTCCCTGCTGCTTGATGTTTTTAAGCCGATGAACGTCTCTTTATATACTACTGATAAATTTTATCAGTAACACTCACCACAATACAAGATCTACTCTTGAAAATTGTAAATCAAAGCTTACAAGCATTCACGATATGACAACGTCAATGAATAAGAGGTTACATTTCACTATTACTGACAACAGTCAGCTTCAACAAAAAGACCAAGAGATTCTGGACAGCTATTTTCTCCCAAGTAAGCAACTCTACAATAAGAAATATAGAATTCAGAACCACCAGTTTACGAAGCGAACACCTTGTTGTTATCCACACGGCAAGTCAGTTGGAACCCAAGACTTTATGATTTAAAACTTTTCATTGGTATGATGTATTGCTGAAGACTACTATATAGGCATAAAATAGATGCCTAGTGTTCCTTAGTTTTCAATAGTTCTCCAACGGTGGGATCCAGGATTAACGTTTCGTCCTACTTCTGGATTCGTCAACTGAATGCACCTGCACCCCACCCACAATCCCCTCCCCCTTCCATACTGAGACTCAGACAAAGCAAGCATTGTTTTAAATACCCAAATCCATTGGGCTGATGGCCTGATAACGCTCTGGTATTTGAAACTGGGTTATGGATTCAAGTTTCACTAGAAACACCATCACCTACTATGGATACAAGTAGATCCGGCTTCGAATAAAACGAAATGCACTTCCTGGGTTCCACTGATAATCATCACCAATCAAAATAGCATCCTGTTCATCTTTAGACATCATTGAAGTGTCTGTACTAAGAGCTGATAAGTCAATAGAAACCGGGCATTTCAGTTCAATATTAGTAGTCAATCAAAGAGAAATACAAATTAAGTGAAAACATATCATTCATTCATTAGTTGTTCATAATTCTGATTGGATTCGAAGAGGATGAAGACAAAACAGGAAGCTGCTGGAGTGTGTAAACCACTACAGGTGTGTGAATATTCATGGAAGTCTATGAATCAGCAAACGTGTGAAGTTGATCACCAGATTAGTAATAATAATAAAAAGTAAATCTGATAAGATAATAATCATCACGTACCATTTGGTCTATAAAATACTGGAATATGATTCATAGTCAGTTCATTTGGACTTTTAATACCCACCAGCATAGGTGAACCGCGTCTACAGATGAAGGGAGAGAGGAAAAGTTGGCGGGAAATGTACGATATAAATTAAAGATAAACATACTGATCACGTTCTTTTAGAGAGCATCAAGTTAAAAAGATTTAAATGACTAAATCTGTATGTACGTACTATGGGGAAACTCAGAAAGCCATTCTATATTGTAAGACACGCAACAGATATCTTTGAAACACGGAATGATATGATTTATTGGAGAATTACTAGCGCACAAACAGTCTGTAAAGTTGAACAACTTAATTCAGAATACATAAGGAACTGAGCGGACAGCTCCTCTATAGTAAATTGTGAATCGATATTATTATATTATTACCATGCCCTTGGTTTTCGAGTGGAACATAAGGCTTCAACAACACAACTCCACTTTGTTCTACTTCCTGCTGTCCTATCCATCTGAGCCCACGATTGTTCATAATCTTGCATCTAATCCTCACCACACAGTCTCTCCCATGTCACCCTAGGACGACCCACTCGTCGCCACCTATTCGGATTCCACTCTTCCGATGACTTGCATTGAGCGTGATGTTATTCGACGGTCTAGTCAGCGTGAGCAAAATCCATCTTCTTTTCTTCCTACATATATGATGAACGATAGGTTCCTGGTTGGATTGCTGTCATAATTTCTTGTTGCTAATTCTTTCTAGTCAGCCATTTGGTCTCCTGCCTTTGACACTTTCATCCGTTTCTCCTGTGGTTCAAACAATGCTTCCTACTTTAGTGAAGGAAGTGAGTGACCTCTTCCAAATCCCTCCCTTTCGATGATAATTGGTGCTGGTTGTTGTTGCTGTTGGTGGTGGTGGTTGGTTATCGTCATCGCATCCGTCTTCTCTATGTTTACCTGGAGTCTTGCTTTCACTACTCGCCTCTTCTGCCAGTTTGTCGGTCTTCGCTTGTAAGTCTTCGACTTTGTACGACACCAAACATAAATCATCCGCGGAATCCAAACCTCCTTGAGTCTTCTTACCCATCCAGCGTATTCCTGTCTTCTGGCTCTCTTGCACAGTCTGGCGCATAATCCAATTCACCACAATTAGGAATATCATCGTGGGTGATAGCAGGCAGCCAGCTTCGTCTTACTCCTGTCTTTACTTCGAACGCCTCGCTGAGTTTTCCGTTGTGAACCACTTGACATGTAGCGTTGTTACATAGGTGTTGACTGAAGTTGATAAAGATTTGGGCACTGCACGCCATAGTGTTGAAGTTGTTCCTAAATCAATAAAATTATGCTCGCCAACCCCAACAGTGGTCCAGTTTCTATTCCCGGTCGACGCAAACATTAAAAATTGCCTGGTTTACTAACCGGTAGTAAGACTGAAAAAGACGGACAGTTGAGGACGAGACTCACAATGCCACAACCGTGAAAACAATATCACTACTGATGAAGTTTAATTTCAATGGTTGTGTAATGGTGTGAAACAGACACTGGGTTGCAACGGAATATTATTCGCACAGTAAGAATAATTGTATGTATTTGTTGGTGTCAAAGTCTGAATACTATTCCCACAGTTCAATACTGCATTAGCTACAGAACACTATGTATATTCGAACTTTCTCTTCCATGTCGTTTAATGTAAGCCAAAATCACACGTCCAGCCATTGGTTAAAGAATATAAACTGTATAGATATAAATAGCTGTTTGATCACTTCGAAATATACCTTGGCTTCTGTGTCTTGCCTTCTACTATTACACTTGAAGCCTTCTCTTCCACTCGGAACGTGAAATAATGTAGAAAGTATTGTATTTTAGGATTTCTTAGCACTGTGTAATCACGAATTCAGGCCAGACCTAATTTAGATCATTTAAATTTCACCAATGAGATATACGATTATTGAATAAAACAGCAACCGTATTATAACAGTAGTACCTACTGTTCTTCTATATAATTGTAAATAATGATTATTGAGATTGAGGTATGTGTGTGTGTGTTTACACGTTTTTATTCTCACGTATTTCCCCGTGGCCACTGTTTGAATATGAGATACACTCACAAACAAATTAATGGCGAAGTTAACATTTCAATCATTAATTAAATACACACTTGGTAGTATATGCATGCCACCTAAAGTAACCGAACAATAACGGTGTTACGGTAGAAGGAAAGCGACTTGACAAAAGACTGTTTGTTAGGAATCTGGTATCTCTATGTAGCCAAATTATGTACACCTTATGTTCAAATCACCATTTCCAGAGATCCTCCGTGTTTTACTACTTCTGCTCTCCTTTTGTATTGTGCTTCTGTGTTCCTTTCACATCTCCCATGTATTTCCGCAACACTGTGTCATTTGCTTTCTCTGACATCAAATCTATCTCCCAGGTGCTTGATGTTTTTATGACGATGAACGTCTCTTTATATACTACTGATAAATCTTATCAGTAGCACATGCAAACAATTTTGCCAAATGAAAAAGAAAAAAAGCGACTCTGCACTTTTTTATTTTTTTATTTTTGATTATAGCTTGATCCCACACCACACTTTTGATACAAGCGTGGTGAGAGCTTTCTGCTGGCCAAAATTGTAGACACCAATTTACGTCAATGTTTACGTACCAAATCTTGGTCACCAGATGAAAAAACAAACAAGAACAAGGACTAACTCAACAACCAGTCACAGCAGATTTAGCGTGGGTGGATACGATTAGCAGATAAATCAACGGACTATCTAAGAAACGGTAACAAAGAGATGGCAGAATAGCCTTCAGCGAGAAAACAACCAATCAGAAGACGATGCCGCTCTGCTAACAATAACGAATAATAATGTACATAAAAATCGATAAATATCTCTTGATTTCCTCAATAAACGATCTGTTGCCTGGCCCTTGTTTTAGCATCTGATATCCGCAGCCCAAATTTTGCAGGCCGAACGTTGATACCAGGTGTGCGTTGGCAGGGGATCGAACCCCGGACTACGTGCATCGTCGGCGAGAGTCACAACCATTGTGTCACCGACGCACATGTAACAACACATCTCAATCAACCGAAAATTCACAACTTTATTCAATAGCTTCAAAAACAGATTATATTATATTACATCAATGCTAATCATCAAAGTTCAACCTTGTCAAAACTGTTAGAAAGGTTTGTATCAAACTAGTTAACTTCACTTATTACTTAACCTCTAAACATAATTTAAGCATATTATATTATGACCTTCTTTCTCAGTCTGACATGATTTTACATTCTGGTTTAACACGCATGATGAATTATAAAACGAGTGAACTGTGTTTAATAAACGCATGTATTGAACTTCTTACATGAATTATGGTTTTTTGTTTCTTATCTTCATCGTAGAAACATGATTATAAACTACTTTGCCTAGTTTTTTTAACAATATTTCTACGATGAAGGTAAGGACGTGTGTAATGTGCAGTAGTTCACTTTGTCCTCTTTTTGTTGCTATGATACATGGCCATTGGAAGTGGAAGATATGAAAAGGTTAACTGTCTTTGACTAGAAATGCCTGCAATCTACCTTCCGTGTTACTCAACAGATATGATGGCTAAAACTGATTTTAGGCACAGAGTGTTAGGGGTAAGAAGGTTAGGTCAATCGATGAAGTTATGAAGCTACATTGATTGAGATGGCTAGGACACGTCTTTCGCATGTCAAGGCACCACCTTCTTCGACGAGCTGACAAAGGATCAAGACTGGGAAAAGGTTACGGGTGGTCAAACCAGAATCTGCAGTGGGTCCACCAAGTTTTTAACAGTTGATTTGATCCTACGTGCGGTCAGGGTCCTCGAGACAGCTAAGAAATAATGGCTGAAGTCTATTGATGATATGGTTCAAAACTGTTCTCAATGGCACAGATGTATTCACGCATATCTATTCAACCCTCACGTTTTTCCATGTTACTATTCTTTTTCTAGCATATTTATGCTCAGTATTGTTTTTATGAATATCTTTTCCTCTCTCTTCTCTCTACGTTTGTTGAATACATGGAGGGTGAAGACTTGAACTGATGCAATTCTGTCCAAAGTTGTGTGGAGAGATTCTTATATGAGACCCACTATTGGCTGAAATTCACTTTCAGACGCAAGCGCGACTTACATGAATTGGTTAGTTCACACAGTTCCACTATCATAGATGACAGTGAAGCTGGAACTAAAGCGAATGTTAAATACCTTGGACTGTGTATTTCCTCTGAACCAACATTATGTTAGTTTCCAGAAAGATATTTCGTTTGACATTCTACGTAAGGAAGTTGAGAAAATCTGGTATCATTCCGTCTCTACTGTTACAGTTTGTTAATTCTTGTGTTCTGCTTATACTTTTTTACTGTTCCCCCTTAATCTTTCTTGCACTACTTAAGAAAGACTTTGTTATACTGCACAGGGCACTAAAAGCCGTCAGAAGGGCAAACAGCTGTGCTGCTAAACCAACTCGTTAATACTACTGTAGACAGACACATAGACTTCTGTAAGAAATTAACAAATATTATCTTGTCAGACCCTAAGCATCCTCTGTATACATAACTCTCTCCTTGCATTTATCACATCAGGTAGAACTAGAAGCAACTATAGAAGACTGTATGTTCGGACGACTAAGTACGAAAACTCTGCAATACCTTATTTGGCAGGTACACATTTTATGTGATGAGGAGAGTGTAGGACAGGAAATTACCAGCCTACTGTAGAACTCTAACTACACGACCCTTCTTTTTCATTGTTACATTGTTGTTAATATTTCCACTTAGTTCAATTTTATATTTATTTTCTTATTGAACCATACTGTTAATATGAATGCTCTGTCTTAATTATTACCCTTGTGATGAGAAAATTATATGCCATACTGTACTATTGCAACGACAGACGACAAAGGCCAGGCAACAGATCGTTTATTGAGGAAATCAAGAGATATTTATCGATTTTTATGTACATTATTATTCGTTATTGTTAGCAGAGAGGCATTGTCTTCTGATTGGTTGTTTTCTCGCTGAAGGCTATTCTGTTATCTCTTTGTTGCCGTTTCTTAGATAGTCCGTTGATTTATCTGCTAATCGCATCCGCCCACGCTAAATCTGCTGTGACTGGTTGTTGAGTTAGTCCTTGTTCTTTTTTCATCTCGTGACCAAGATTTGGTACGTAAACATTCACGTAAATTGGTGTCTACGATTTCAGGTAGCAGACAGCTCTCACCACCCTATTACATGCTGAAAACTCCATATTTGTACCAAAATACTGTTTAGAATAAAGCTATCCTTATTACTAGCATTAAGGAGTCTCAAGACACTTAGTTAACTTAGTTTATACAACTATAAATTTCAATCAAGTAAGGTCTATCTAAACAAGCTAATGTTGACATAAGGCCTAAGCAAACTAACTAATGCACCCTGTTAACGACTATGTAACTTTTATTCAAAGTAGCACAGAGAAGAGGAGGTGCGCGGATAAAATATACAACGGTAAGAACCGACAAGCATCGTTTCACCTACAGACGGAACTGACGAGGATATCAAAGCAAGGATCGGGAAAGTAAGGCAAGCTTCACATTTCTCTCAAGTCTGTGTGGAGATCAACAACAGTCAACATGAAAAATAAGATCCGGATTTTTAACTTCAATGTGAAGTCACTGCTACTATACAGATCAGAGACTTGGCGCTTCGTCACGAAGGGCACTTCGAACAAACCACAGACTTTCACCAACAGCTGTCTTTGCTCAGTACTCAAGATCAGATGGCCAGAAAAGATCAGCAACAGGGATCTCTGGGAGCGAAACAACCAGGAACTAATTGTGCAACAAATATGCGGGAAGAAATGGAAGTGGATTGGCCATACTCTGAGAAAACCATCAAGTGACGTCACACGACAGGCCTTCGCTCGAGTGGAACCCGGCCGAAAGGGAAGCGGTGAGTTGTTCGTCAGTGCCAGGGTGACATGGAGCAGGTCATGTGAAGAGGAGATGAAAGTATATGGGCAGACGTGGAGCCAGGTGGAAACATGGAGGCATGCCGCCGAAGCCCTATGTTCCTCTAGGAACTAAAGGAAACAATAACAATATAATAATATTATAATGGTTACCAAAAACAAACAAACTATACATACATACATTATATATAATAAAGCACACTAAACAATTTCTTAATTTCATTGTTTTTAATTGAATTATATAGAAAACTCTGACTAACCTCGCCACTACACATTCTCCAGGGTAATAACTACTTTTACACGCCAATGCAAACGATCCCTCCTATAGAAAACAAAAAGTATTAACACGAGAACAATAGAAAAAGTGAAATATTTCTATGACCTGTACTATAGAAATATTATCAGATAATAATGTGAGTAAGAAAAATACATAACCAACAACAAATGGTATAAAATTAGCTTATTTAGGCATATTAGTCTATAAAAATAACCACAATAGTAATTAAAACCCACTATAAACCCTACTTTGTTTTTTTTCTTTACTGCATCTTACTAAGTTTAACAGTGCGGCACACAAGTGCACAGTTGACTGTTTAAATTGATAGATTCCAATTACACCCCTACAAAAATACTACTATTTTTATTATGGTGTTTGGTAGAAGACTAGCTTGTTTGGCAAATTGGCATACACAGTTATGGTAAAACATAAAAATCATACATTGAAATATTTAATTTTTGTAAAAAGGACTTCATCTGCTACTTCTACTTCTTTTGCCTTCATTTCGTGTTTCCTGTATTGTTTCACAAGTGTCTTTCACCTCTCCCCTTCGCTATTCTTGTAGAAGACGTCACCAATATACGACGACTTACAACGTTCATGTCATCAGTACACGCCACACTCGACCCTGCCATCTATTATTCTTGTGTCTTGGTGCTGACTTATTCAAATTACTACTATATCCATCTGCGAAGTTGACTGGCGCTAACAAATTTCCGTCTGTCTCCTCTTCTGACAACTACATCTCTTGGTGATTGAGTATGGTCTTCTCTTCTCTATGTTGGAAGATGTTTTCATAAAACATGGACTGCTTCCAACTGTGTACTTTCGTTATGCTTCACCTGATCTTCTTATCTCTCTGTTCAAATTTTGTATCGTCAATCTTCTCTGTTTATACTTTACATACTGATGTAGTTGTGTCCTCTGGGTTAGGTGATTTAAATTGATAAGCTTTCATTGTCCTTTTAGACAATATCTTCAGTGCAAGCTGTAATATGAAATGAACTTATTTAAATTCTCCATGAATGATATAATTGTTCGTCCCGACAATCTTTGCCGTGATTAATTGTTAATTTCCGTCTGTATTGGTCATTTTTTATTGACGTGAAATTTGACTGCTTTCAGTTCCGCTAGTCAACTTTTCATTATTCACTGCTGGTAATTTGATCAGGTGTTATTGTGTATTGGTATTTGTGGTTCGCTATCATACATCAACTGAAACAGTAGTTTCTTTGTTGTTTCTTGGGTGGGAACACGACGTGTTAGTATACTCTATAGAAGCTGTTTCCCCGTTATCTCCTTTTAAGGTCAGTCAGTCCTTCAGTAGGCAGTTATTTCTCTGTGTCAAACTAGTTGCTCCAAGGTCAACGTAAATTCCTCACTTTCAAAACAAAGAGCCTGATCTGTCAATATAGTCACTGGAACATTGCGGTTTGTAACGACATTTCGAATCACTGTTTTATCAACAGTCTCTACCAGTTAGTCCAAGACCGCGATGGTATCTACCACCCATCGTGTAGTGTGTTCCATCATCACCGACAAGTACTGATAGCCACTGGATATCTGCAGAAAATGTCATATTACATCCACGGAATACAAATCACCTGCTGCTTTAAGTGGAATCGACGGCAAAAACGGTCGTATGCACCAAGCCCCTTTCATCAGTTGACAATGAAGACAACGCTTATATATTTTGCTGGCCAGTAAATGCTTCACCTCAAAAAGTCGGTCGCTTTTGCTACATCTGTCTGTTTTAGCCGGTGATTCCTTGGTATCATCTCATGACAAAAGTACTGAGTTGTTACCACCGGCATCACTCTCTCACCAAGTCAGAGCTTCACAAGTGTTTAAACTTTATTGACCATTTTGTTTGAGTAACATGGTTAGCTCCTGATTTGCTGCAGGGCAGCTAATATCCATTCCATTAGTAATTACCTGAACCACTATGTTCACGGCAGGATCAAACTTTTTTGACAGCAAGCAGATCTTTGTGTATTGTCCTAATGCATGAACTCTGTATGCGACCTCGGGTAACTCAGCTTCGTTTTCTAGTCTATTTAAAAAATCCGCGATTAGATTTTCTTTCCCTGAGATTTTACTCTTGTAAGTGTAACATACACTGCGACAATAGGGTAAGATAAAACTAAGTTGGATAAAGAAGTTGATCGCTGAATCCTTGTTCATTGAAACTAAACCTAATACGTGAGATAGGAATAACACAAAATAAATGCCTAAAAAAACCTATTCTACCGATAAAATCAAAGGATGAAAAAGGATGGAACTATACACACAAAGTCTGAGGGTTATATGAACACCTTGATATGATTATGAGTGGTTATATTATTATTACTCCCTTGGGTTCCAAGTGGAACATAGGGCTTCAACAACACAACTCAACTTTGTTCTACTTTCTGCTGTCCTCTTTATCTGGGCCCACGCTTGCCCATAATCTCGCACCGACAACGGACCCACTAGTCGTTTCACATTCAGATTCCACTCCAGCGATGGCCTGTATTGCGCGCGATGTCATTCAACGGTCTACTCAGCATATGCTATATCCACCTACATTTTCTCCTACATATTTGTTGAACGATAGGTTCTTGGTTAGTTCGCTCACCGCCAGAGTTTCTTGTTGCTAATTCTTCCCACCTGCCATTTGATCTTCACTGTGGAGATAGCGAAGCCAGCTGTTGGTAAAAGTTTGCAGTCGCTTGTTGAAAATGCTTTTCATGATACGCCCGCCATGTTTCTCACCCATACAGAAGAAATGATTGACTCAACAATGGTGTTGAAAATCTGAATCTTGTTCTTTATGCTTAATGAAGAAGATTTCCAAACTGATTTCAGATTGACAAAGGTGTGCTGCCTTGCCTTTCCGATTCTCACTAGCTTTGACATTTTCATCCGTTTCCCCCGTGGTTCACACAGTGCTTCCTACTTTAGTGAAGGAAATGAGTGACCTCTTCCAAATCTCTCCCTTTTGATGGAAATTGGTGCTGGTTGTTGTCGCTGTTGGTGGTGGTGGTTGGTTATCTTCATCACATCCGTCTTCTCTATGTTTACCTGGAGTCTTGCTTTCACTACTCGCCTCTTCTGCCAGTTTGTTGGTCTTCGCTTGTAAGTCTTCGACTTTGTACGACACCAAACATAAATCATCCGCGAAATCCAAATCTCCTTGAGTCTTCTTACCCATCCAGCATATTCCTGTCTTCTGGCTCCCTTGCACAGTCTGACGCATAATCCAATTCACCACAATTAGGAATATCATCGGTGATAGTAGGCAGGCAGCCTTGTCTTACCCCTCACTTCGCTTCAAAAGCTTCGCTGAGTTTCCCGTAGTGGATCACCTGATATGTGACATTGTCATATATCTAGCTGTTGAATGAGACTGATAAAGATTCGGGTACCGTACGCCATAGTGTTAAAGTTATTTCCAAATTACTTCTCAGTCAACACTATCGAGTCCTTGTTCAAAGTTGATGAAATTGATGTGCATACTTGACTATCATTCGATGATGATGTATAAAGCAGCAGTTTGATCAGTACATGATTTTTCTCTCCTGAATCTAGTTTGTTCTATTCGGGGCGACGGGGGGGAGGGAGTTCTGCATCCAGTGCATCTTTTGTTCTCTCCAGGATAACGCGGCATAGTATCTTATTTGTGTGTTGAAGTTTCTGTAGTAGTTTGGTTGGTTTTCTGGGGTAGGATCGCTAGCCCCACGCTAAAACCTTCCTCTTTTCCTGGGCTTGGAGCCATCTGAAACAACAGGGAGCTGGTTAACTAGGTGAGGTACTATTGTATTTTTAAAAATTATTCTATAATGGAAAAAACGGAATGTAAGATGGTAAGATTAACAAAAAAAATAATTGTAATCAACATAAATGAAACAAATCTGAGTTAAATGAATCTAAAACTGTCAGTTATTCGAACTCCACAATCATTGAACACACAACTGTTAGGAAGGGAACCTAAACAGCAAATCAGAGTTGATGTTACTTTTTATTAGTATGAACAATGTAAAGTAAAAGGAAGGAGAGAGAGAGAGAATGATCAAAAGCATACTTTCTTCAGCATTTAACTTACCAACTGATGTGCTACTAGCTCTACAACTTCCAAAAATGTAATTGGATTTTCTTTATGTGAATCATAAATCATTTGCATAAATTTCGGTATCACTTCTGTATCAGTATCAGATTCAAAAGTAAAACCACGCCGTTTCTGTAAATTGATCACAAGAAGGGAAAAACCAAGATAATAAAAACAGTTTCGACAGTTGTAAAATAGCAATAGACTACCAAAAGACGACTTGATAAGGGAATCGTCAGGATATAATCATGAAATGACATCGGCTAAAGAACCGTTAGAAAACCTGAGAGTACTGGACAACTGTCTCGTCCTAGTTCAGGACTCTTCATCAGTACCCAACCACTGGGGGTCCGAGCCCAGGACCTTGCGGTTACAAGGTGAAATGCCAGTCAGCCAGCTATTGTAATCATCACACTGCCATATCAATATCATCGCTTTGTCATTTAATTCTAAGAGGTGATACGGCTAAGAGCGCTGATATTCTTACAAATCTGTGAAGTGTTACCACTTAAAAATGGCTTGTTTAACCCCTTCCTCAAAACGTGCAGTGTGGTGAATATCCGATACTTTGCCAAGCACAAAGCGTACTTTGCCACAGTTCACTTCTTTCTACTATATGGTTGCGAAGTATGGTTATTGAAAGGTAAGTCTTAGAAGGCATCAATTATCAGACCATTATTTTCTTTGAAGGAATCCTCAAGTTTGGCAGAAGCCAATACATCAGAAATATTTAGGTTTGACTTAGAGTCCCAGGTAAAACATATCAGTCGATGAAATTACATATCTCAAACAACCTAGAGAGAGAGAGAGATGGAGAGTGGGAACATTTACCTCAGTTGTAAGTTAACAGACGTAGGAGGGTTGAAATAAACGTGCCGTAGTTGCACTAAGACATGGTGCAAGACCATTAAACCATCGGCTGTTTGTCTGAGTTGTATACATGGAGCCCAAACAAACCCTGAAACACACTTATTGTAAATGTTTAGTTATATGGCTTGGTGACTAGTTTGAAAATGTAACTACTGAAATCTAATGAACATCCCAATGATAAAACGATGTAGGTCTTTATTTTAATTAAATTACTACAATTTTTTTCACTTGTTTTATCTTGCTTTCTTTTGTTTTAAAGCATCCTATGATTGTATGAATTTCATATAGATTTCCTCCATTTCTGTTAACTTTTACACGAAGACACAGTCCTAGAGTCGATGTTCACAATGTCTATCCATCCACCTCTGAAACAATCAATGGTTGTCAATTACCTAGACCATTAAGAAAAACTGACGTGTGCAAATGTAATGGTGCAAGATACTAGAGAACATGTAAGTTGGTGATAAGACTGAATTAAAATTCAATACCTGTGAGTACTCCTCAATCAGCAGTGTCTACAATTTCAAGAAAAAACTTATATTCTCTCTGAGATTTCATTGTTTGTTAATCAGTGCCATGATCGTCGACTTTCTCACCCAGCTATTTATTTAACTCACAGCTTGCTCCATGTAGAATTCGTCAATTTTCATGACTGAGTTTTCAGTGTCTGATCAACCAGTTTCAACAAACGGGCACTTAGGAATAGCAGTCTCACATATGATAACACTCAGATAACAATTAATGTACTATATATATATATATATATATATATACATATATATATATATATAACTTAACAAAATTGCGTTTAGTTTAATAGGATAAGGATGAAGCCTAGTTTCAAGGACAATCTACCACCAATATTTGAATCGACTAAACAGCAAACAAAAGTTCTAATATTGATTGATATCAGTTGGAGAACCATTGAAAACCAGGGAGTACTAGACATCTGGTTCATCCTCTTTCGGGACACTTCAGCGATAGGTACCGGTGACACAGTCCACCAAGGATCAAACCCAGAACTTTCAGTTTACGCGACCATTCAACCATCGAGATGGAATCCATTGGCCCATGAATTCTAACTTCGGTCAGTTCGATTTCCATCATCCGATATTTAACATCTAGTGCAGCCACATTGTATTACTTATTACTTCACATCCGACCAACCGATTTCGAACAATATATAGGATTAGGAAGCTATACTGGTTACTACTCCACACTAAATACACACAAAGATGAAATAATCCCCCCCCCCCCATGAAATGAAAAAACTATCACAAAAATGAAATTGAACTTGCTAGCAAAGCTTTGAGATCAACATAATTCGTAATAATGCCATTGTGGACTACAACAAATCCATTATCAGGACCAGACCTTTGAGGATGTGCATTCACTTCATTAGGTTCACCATGAGTTGCCCAACGAGTATGCGCTATACCGACATGAGTTGTGATTGGTTCATTTGGAAGATCAGCATCAGTTAAAAACTCTAAATATAAATTGGAAAACAATGATATTATTATTATTATTTAGAAACATTAGCAAATAAGTTTGCACAATTAAAACGGAATCGCCTTTCGTTTGGCGGAGATTATAGCTGTAGAACTTTTTGGCATTAATCCTTATTATCATTTCTAATATAACTTCAGAATTAACTAAACTGTTTAACTGACCCTCAGTTTAAAAATATTAAACTGCGAACACAGTACACTTCGACGTTCTTATTGTAATTAACATTGAATGTGGAGACACTGATCTTCAGTAAACACCAAAACGCATATGACGCTATACAGATAAGCCAAGTTCAAGAAACGCTGCCTATTATCTTCAGCACTCCACCCTCAATCTATAAATTATATCTCTATTGATAAAATATACTTTAGTAAAATTGTCTGTAGAAAGAATTTTAAGAAAGGGAAAAATATAATAAAACAAAAAACTTACGTTTAACTGCTTGTCCTAATGAAGCCACTTTGCCTTTACAACGTACAACTCGTGTAAACGTTTTATGGCTATCACCATTGCATAAACCATTTTTGTCTGGGCAAACAGCATCTATCGCTAGACCTGCTGAATCGTAACCACGATATTCAAGTCGATGTAAACCATTGAGTAAAGTGTTTACAATGACTTGACGACTAACTGGGACTTGATAATTAAGGTATGCAAATATTCCTGCAAAGCAAAATTAGTGAAACAAACATATGGGATTAGAAATATCAAAAAGAGAAACAGAACCATGCACAACTGTCCGGGAAAAAATATTAATAAAAACACTGACTACTAAAAATGTGCACAAAAAGTGAATACAGACATAAGTCAAGGTAGAGCTTTGGGGTGAAAACTCATCAGTTTAATTTGCTACACCCCATTAGAACAGTAGATAGATAGAAACAATAACATTAAGACCAACCGTCGAGACAATGAACTACTTCGCACAATCATTAACTGTTGGTTTGAACAGTATTGTCAGAAGAAGACTCTTTGACTCTAAATCGGTCCGTCATACTGACTGATGATTGAAAATTGTACAGTTGTCCTTCAAGTGTTCTGAACATTCGATTAATAATTAGTACTTCATACATCAAAACCTACTTCACACCTTACTTCAAGTCCTGATAACTGATAACGTTATTAATTCCTAAGAAATAACTACAAGACTTATTTTACACTATACACCTGTAATCTAAATTCAGAACATCCTAAAGGCCTGTAAGCTTTTTGTGATGTATCAATAAATCCTCATGCAAATCTTAATCTTATTTCTAGTTTGGATATTGATAGTATTTAAGTGGTTTAAAGCCAGTACACATCTAGAAGCACATTGCTATTATATCTTTGCTGCAATCAACTTCATACCTAAAACAATAACGCTTGTGTGTTTGAAATCGATAAGCAGAGTTCAAATCTTTGTTAAACTATTAATTTCTAAAACACGAGTACCTTTCGGTGACTCAAAGTCGACTCACAGTTTCACTACTATTGTTAAATATTACTCAAACCAGTTAGCTAATCACTTAAACTTACCACAAGTACTAAATGCTTTAAAGGCGGCTTTAATATGAGTTGATAACAGTCAAAGAGTAGGGATGAACAGAGGATGCAGGAGACTGAAGAAGTAACAGTTTTACGCAATGACGAGCAAATGATTATTCACTGGAAAATACTTTCAACACTAATGATAGTCAATGGTGTTACCATCAAAAAACAGAATAGCGGTAAGCCGTTAGAAAATACAAATGAATTAAATGGTGATCATCCATACATGAAGATGTGGTTCATTAGTTTAAGCACCCGAATTCAAATGCCACTCCACATGCTTTAACCTGAGCAACTTGACAGTATCATTAGCCTTGACACAAGTGCGACCCATAAACAGGTAAATAAAAAAATCTGTTCCAGAGAACAAGGACTTTGGTCATCCATTAACATGAAAGGTCAGGAAACCTACAGACTTATAGATTAAAAGGCTAAATATCAGGTATAAATTCTGAACCGATATTTATAGCGAGTACGTAAGGAGTATCTGTAGTTACTTATGTTTAGTATTAAAAAAAGTGGCAAAATCCATCACTATCCCTTTTAGAGTGCATACCACTACAGAAAACTAATAAAACCTCTACAATTTTTACGACCTCTCGAATGCAATGTAACCGTTCTATTTACCTTTTGCAGACATTTAAAAAATACGTCAGTTGATGGTGTGAACCACACTAATTTAAGACTGAATAAATTTATATATGCTAAAGGTGAATGAAATATCTTAATGAGCACAAAGTTGTTTTTTGGTAATTACCGATAAGCCGGTGGTGGTGACAATCATGAGAATGCTTAACAGCAACAGTATTCACTACGGTTTAGTAGTGAAATACGTAAAATTGATGGACGATTTAAGATTCAGTTTATTTTCAAGAAGTAGCTGTTATTGACTGAAGCAGCCGAATAAATGCAAAAATTCCGAACTTGCTTACTTTACTTTACTTCGGCTATCTCCTACGGGAGGATGAGCCCGCTTCATGAACATCTCGAATCATCGCTGCCCAGGCGCGGCGATCTGATGCAAGGTTTTGCGACAGGGTAAGAGAGTTCATGAAGTTTCATGGGAATTTGGTACGAGTGATGTCCCCAGAATCGCTCGGCCTTTTGTTTGAGAGTGCAGCTCTAGCCTTTACACAACCAAGTGCGACCTACAAGGCGGTAGGAGTGGAGTAGGGAGTCCACTATCCATTGGCAGCCGGTGACCGGAGTTCGGTTCATACGCCTTTTTGAATGGGGTCAGACATCCAGGACATCCAACAAGCCCTTTGTCCATAAGTCTGCCGGTGAGCTCCAGTAGGCTTCATACGCCAGTCGTTGGAGGTTTGGAATCAGGGTTTAGCCATCTCCCCTAGACTGTTATCCAATGGACGGTCAACCCGGTGAAGAGCGCCGGGCATCCGAACGAGCTGCCTAAGGTAATGGTTCAGTTTGCGAACTTTCATTAGCTAATATGTCTGAGAGAATTCAATGGTGTTATTCACGATTTTAAAACTACTCTATGTGACATTTAAACCCACAAACTCAATTAGAAACAAGCTTTGTCGGTTGAAGGATCCTGTGGAGCCTTTAAAACAAAACAATTTAGTTTATCTAATACCCTGCAATGATTGTCAGGTCAAATACATAGGCCAAACTAGTAGAACAGGAGCAGTCAGACCAGACGAACATAAAAACCTAGCAAAATCTAGATTGATTGACCCAAATAAGATAAGAAATCTGAAGAATAGTTCAGCTATACCGCTCACTACATGCAACTACACACAACCATACAATAGGATGGGATAGGATGACAGTTTTAAAATCTAATGTCACAGGGTGGAGGGAGAGATTGATAACAGATTTGTTTATCGAATCAACTGCAAATACATGTAATAGGAATGATTTATCAACTGTCCCCAATATCTGGAAAATTCTACTACCTCTACGACAAATAGGAAAAAACAAAGAAAACTATAAAACTCAAGTTTCGAAGTCGTGTGATTACAATTGATATGATTATGAACAATAAGTTTTGTTCGAAACGTCATCCAGTAAATAATACTGTTTCACTGTGTGATATATCTAATAAACAAATTAATATGGAAGTCTCTATTCAAATATACAGCTTTTCATCAGCACAGAATATTATTCAGAAAGTCAGAATGCCACTAAACATGATAAAAAAGGAACAAAACAAAACCTAGTTGCCAAACATAAAGTTGACTGACAGTGACAAGAATTTCACGAAAAAGTGATTCCGAGAATCTCGATCGGCATTACTTACCAAAAGCCAACAATCAAGCTTCGTGACAGCGACGTTACCAGCCAAGATGAGGGACTACATGTGTATTCCTTAGATATTTTAGGCAGTCTATTTAGCCTATATCACTTACAGATAAATAGTTTTGAAGAACAAATAAGACCAAGAATTAAAAAAAAGTAAACAGATAAAGAATAACAGCTACAAAGCATGCAAACACAATTTAATAACATGTATGTCAGTAGATAATTCCCCAGAATTATTAAACACAGAACTTATCACTGAATATTAGGTGCTGACCCTCACCTGTTTAGCTGAAAGCTCGTGGTCGAGCATCTACGCCATTCGGCACACCGTCCTGTTACGTTCGGTTGTTCGTGTACGATTCCTAGCTAGTTAGGCATTCATCTTCGCACTACGATTTTCGTCCTGAACACGTATTCATGAATCATTAACATACAAATTATTGCAGATAGTATAATAAAGCCAGAGAACTGTCAAACGAAACAGGGTGAATTGTTTCTTATGCTGATTGGTGTAAATACAGTTGGAAAACCCTTGTCCTATGGACATGATATCAGTAAAATCACTAGTGCGTATTTAAATAAAACCACTGAGGCAAACTGAGGAATAGAATGAGAATGAGCTTATGATATTTAGGCAACAAAAAGGCATGTAACAGGTGAAAGAAACTGATCCACATCCAAAACAATTCAAGAAACTTGATTCAATACAAAGTAAATGGTTTATACTATTCAATGTTACATACGTTTTTTCTACTTTTAACCACTTTTTGACAATATTTTAATTCACGCATTTAATGTAAGGAGTGATAAAGTGGTGGTTAAACAGTCTGAAATAGAATCTAAACACAAAATCTACAAGTATTATAAATCACTAAAAGACAAATTGTAAAAGTATGCAACCACCGTATTGCATACCACACAGAAAATACAGTTATTACTGCTATGCATTTAAATGGTGAGAAATTGAAGAGCACAAATTCATAACTACTGACACGTGAATATACGTACACCAACGAACTATATGGATTCCTTCACCACAAACAGGTTGTTTTCTCCGTGTGAACAGTGTCTCAATTCAAAGGTTGTACGGAAACAAAAAATTATGATGAATTCTATGTATATTTAATCTTACTTCACAAGGATATGTGTGAGGATCACTCACACAATAACAATACATCCAGAACATCGTGGTGCAAAAAAACCACAACAGACTCATACTGAAACAGACATCTATAAACATCACAAGAACTTCTAGGGATTATGGGGCTTATGTGAGAAACACTTGTGGCATCTCAAAATGCGAGCACATATATATTCATTCAACACAAAAGCATAGAAATTATATCTCTAGCACTAAGTGTGAAGCCTGTACAACTGTTCACATAAAAACTTAACAGCAGGCTACTAGCTTACCACACATTATGAGAAACTGAAGTACCGAATGACTGCTTTATCCCGCCTAAATATCTTCAACGTTCAATGATGTGCAATAGTGAATACAATGTTCAGTACCGTTTCTAGAGAAAGCGGCTGGACTTATCCGGCATGTTGGTTGAAATTTCGCTCGGCAAATTTTTTTGTCAATGATTTTTAATAAAATTTTGTTATATGTTTTCTGGATTGATAGGAATTCTCATTTCCTGGCTAGTTATGTTGGTGTCCGCGTCATTTAATCTGACTGCGACACACTTAGCATATTGGTTGTAATGATTAGTGTTTCATGCTGTATGCGTCAAAACATCTCTACAATGGAGAAGATGGGGTAGTTGGGGGGTAATGCCATCTACACAAATAGTTTATTTCTTGTAGAAGCTGCGGCTTTCGACATAGTGTCATTCAATGAAGACTACGTCCAAATATGGCTATTTTCGCGTGAAGAACAGTACTATTTTACAAAAGAATGCTATCAGTACATGGTAATCACCTATAAATGCCAACAGAACGTAAAACCAATGTGTAAACGAACGGCTACGGAACTGCAATCCAGCATAACCGACTAACATGAACGAAAATAACCTTTGAGCGTCTCACTCCATCAATGACCTTGAGCATGCGGGATAATTTCAGCCGAGAAAGCTAGTGCAAACTAAATTTATTTCTTTATGCTGGCTTGTTGGTTGTAAGATGAAGGTCCCTGATCTTCGGTGAACTTCTGCGTAGTTCGTTCCGCCACTCGACTGTAGTGGCTTTCGCTGACTCCCAAAAGGGTGGAGCTGGAATTGATTACGGTACGTGGTGTGTTGAAACCGAGTCACTACTATGAATGCAGTCGATCATTTTGCCAATCAGTCATCGAGTGCGGTCAAAAAGAGATACTAACAATAATAGCAATAATAATAGATTTAGTTAGTGTAGATTATGTAAACTTAAAAAGGGAGGAAACATTGTAACAGATAGCTGATGAAAAATGAAACTGATGTGTATGCATCAATAGTAGTAACGATGTAAGGTAATTAATAGTTTAAGAAGTCAGAAAAGTAAGAGAATGGAGAATGTGAGTTTAGATGTATACCCACTAATACTGTGTGAGTTTTAATGGCATAGGCCGTTTAGACTCAATCCTTGTGTCGCTGCATGATTGCCAAGCCTTTGCTTAATGCTGTGCAAGGACGCTGCAACGCAGAAATCTGCCAGTAAAGGGTTACAGGCGTGGCAAACTCGAAGTGAATAGAAATGGGAGAGCACATGGTTCTTTGGTCTCTGGTGAGCTGTCTTTGGTGCATTACCATGAGGCAGCCCATACGCACTTAATGACATAATGCCTTTGTTTGGGCGATTATGGTCTTTTGTAATCTTATATGCAATAAATAAGTCCCGTTCTAAACCGATGGTAGTCAAGTGTAAAAAGACCTAACTACTTCATCCATTCATCATAGGGTTCATTTCGGAGACCCAGCACGCCAGTCTTTGGACTCTTTCCAAAACGTTAGCGTCTCTTCTAAGTAACAGGGGAGCATAGATATTTGCATTGGCCTCGCACAACCCTAGAATAATCTCAGGAGTGGCCACACCTGGTTATATAAATAAATAAATAAATTTATTCTCATAGTACAGTACATGAGGGACGCCAGTTTACAGGCATCATCAAATTGTTACAGAAATAGAACCATATAATTTAATCACAATTTACAGCCAGTAGCAAGATATGCTTTACATGTTCGATAGAGATTATACATACACTTGATAAATGTTAATTCCAGTAGTATAAAACAGCCTTTTCACTTATATACAATCATTTCTGTGCAAAGTTGGAAAAATCTGCTAGATTGTCAGTGAGTGCAACACAACAGGAAATACAGGAGTATTGTCTTCGCATTAACAAAAAAACCAGGTCTTTGGTGGATGGATTATAAGTGCCTGGGAAAAAAATAAAGCTTGAAGTAAATATTCATACATAACTTTGTTGTGTGCAGAGTCCTCGAATTATAGTTCATTGATGTGTTATTTTGAAATCAGTGATGTGTTTATCTCATTTGATTTGCAATGTCATTGTTGGGAGTAAGTACATAAGCTTCGGACGCATTAATTAATGGATTTCTACTGATTACGGGTATTTTCTTAGCGTTAGGAAGGTTTATGAGTTTCAGCTGTTCCGACAGGAGTTGAGAATATTAACTGCTCAGCAACATTATGGGTATAAGTTCATCACATTATCTAAGGAAAGGTGGGTTGCAGTTGGTGAGGGATATATGGTATCCAACGAGCGTTCATCTGTCCTTGTGATGTTGTGGTGAGTTATACCTTTTTCATGTTGTCGGTTTATGTCCATTTTATTCCACTTATTGTGTTGGGTAGTAGTTTTACAAACGAGATTTGTTGTCTGTTTGAGGATACGTATGTTAACCGTTAATGTTTTATCTAGAATTATAAATATAGGCAAAAAACAACAGGTGTAGTATTTAAGCTTATACATTAAATGGACCTATAATTTCGGAGGCTCTCAGATAGGAACTAGAACTAATATCGTTTGCAAACTCTTGTAGTTTGTCATTAAGCACCTTTTTGAAGGAGGCCAATGTACTTGCTTGACGCATTTCCATTGGCAGTTTATTCCATATCTGTGCATACCTAATCAAGTAAAACTTTTGCCTGGTGGCTGTTTTACATTGTTCGATAGCTACTGTACCCTTAGTGTGTCTTAGTTTGTAGCCATTGTCATCTGAAAGTCGAGTGCCATTAGTAGAGGTAAAAACTAAGTGGTTTAGAAGCTTATAGTAAAGTGTCAAGTTTAGTCTCAGGCGTCTTAGCCATAGTGTTTCTAGTCCTAGGGTATCACATCTAGTGGAGTAGTTCGTACCATTTCCGGTTCCGAGTAATTTTAACGTGAAGTACCTCTGCACTCCCTCGACTTTCAATTTGTCCTCTATGCGTATGCTACTATACACGAATGAACAGTAATCAAATAAAGGACGCACACAGACCTTGTACAACAGAATTCTAGACTCATTTCTGTAGAAGTTCCTGAGTAGAAAGCCGATAAGTCTGCGTGACTTTGACACTTGTTTGGAGATGTGTTCAGAAAATGATAAGTTATGTGAATATTTCAGCCCTAGGTCCAGTACAGATTCCAGTCGTTGAAGTGCATGGCCTTGAATTGTCAGGTCAAGTTCTAAATTGTTGCAACCTATGCAGAGCCAGCCACATTTTTCGACATTAAATTGGAGTTTCCTGGTGTCACACCATCTATCCATTTTTTCTAATTCTTGCTGTATGGCGTTTACTGTTATTCCAAGATCTGTGTTCTTGCATTTATACGTCACTTTTAAGTCATCTGCATATAGTATTGGTTTACCTACACTAAAGCATTCACAGATACTGTTTATATATATTATGAATAAGAGTGGGCCTAATACACTTCCCTGGATTACACCACTACTTACTGGTTTAGGCCTTGAGATTATCGAGCCAACTTTCGTTGTCTGACTTCGGCCGCAGAGAAATGATTTTATCCAGCTCAGGAGATGGCCACATATCCCTAGTGAGCATAACCTGCTGACTAGCAGATTATGGGGAACTCTGTCGAAGGCTTTTGTTATATCGAAATAAAGCACAATTACTAGTTCTCTGTTGTCCCTACTTCGTGTAACTTCGTTGAAAAAGTCTATGTGACAGGTCACGCATGATCTCTTTTTGAGAAATCCGTGTTGTGATGGATTGATAAGTCCATGTTCTAGTAAGCTGTCTGACACTTGGTCTTTAACCACTTTCTCCATTATTCGGGATATTACCGGTGTTATATTGATAGGTCTATAGTTGCATACACTGGTTTTGGCCCCTGCTTTGTGCTTAGGTAATATGTATGTGGTTTTCCACACTTCAGGATAAGTTCCAGTTTCTAATGAGAGAGTAAATATTCTAAGTAACAAGACTACCATTTCCGTGCTACCATTTTTGTACATGACAGATGGTATGTCATCTGTTCCAGTACTACCGTTAGACTTCAAAGTCTTAATCGCTGAGTCTATATTTTGTATATTAAAGTCTATTCCGCCTAATTTGTGGTTGCTTTTGCAAGTCATTTGGAAATTTGGGGTTGGGTGCACTCTGGCGTCATTGCAAAACCACTCATTGAGGAGTTCGCTTATAACCTGGGGATCATTGTGTATTATACCCTTATGCTCCAAGCTGCTTACAGTATTGTCTTTACTACTTTTTAGACGTTTCTGCAATATCCTACAAAGTTCCTGAGTTTTGGAGTTACCCACGAGCGCTTTATTTTCTTCAAGTTGTGACCTCATTTTGTGTTTCTCTTCAAGCCGTTTAAGAGTTTCATGTATTTGGTTTAACGCATTAAATTCCTTAAATACATGGTATTTCCTTTTCAATTTCTTTAGTTTAAGTCGCGTTTTGCGGTCGATAAATGGAGTTGGTGTCTTTAGAGCAGATTTTAGGGGCGCGATTATGTCTCTTGCTGAGCCAATTGTTTTGTAGAAAATATCGAGTGATACTTCTAAGTTATTGTTAATGAAGTATTCTTCCCAGTCAGAACTTCTCAGCAGATCTGATAGGAATTCCCAATCGGCATTCTTATAGTCCCTATATTGATAGTGCACCGGGGAATTTTTAGGTGTGTGTTTAGTTGTTAGTCGGAATGGTAGCGTGCAGTACAATATGTTGTGATCACTGTTATCAAGTTTATTTCCTACCTCTATCGAGATGGGCTCAATTTCATGACAAAGGATTAAGTCAAGAGTGTTTTCATTTCTTGTAGGGAGGCGTACGCACTGCTTCCATCCGCCTACGTCTATAGCTTGTAGTAGCTCGTCATGGATTCTAGGTCCTGTACAGGTATCCCAGTTTACTCCAGGTAGGTTGAAATCGCCACAAACTACTTTGTAGTCAAAGTCCAGCGTAGCTGCATGCTCTAGTATTTCTCCAATAGCTATATCAGTCATTTCAGGGCTATTAGGGGGTCTGTATAAACATCCCACGAGAATTTTATTTTCGTTTGTGTGGATGCTTATCCACTTAG